TAAAAATCAGGAGGCTCCCGCGGCTGGGAAGGTCCTTCCTGAGGACTGAGGGGTCCCCGTCTCACACCAGGTGCCCCGCTCAGGGTTCCAGTGCCAGGAAGAGAATCCCCATAACCTCTGGCTGGAAAAACCAGCGGGAACTGAGGCTCAGGGAGGCTGAAGTGACTGGAGCCCCAGGCAGCTCCTTAAAGGGCCCGCGCATGGACTTATCGGACTCTCTCCCTCTAAGCTTGGAGAGGAGGCAGCTCAAGGGGCACCAGAGACATACAGGGAAGAACTGAGCTGTTTGGCACTGGAGTGAGGGCTGGAGAGGGGGCTTTCTTGGGGACAAACATGCTGTAAGAGGCCTTTGTTCTTTTGGTGAGCCCTTCCCGGGGGCAGCAGACAGTCTCCATATCTGGGACTCCAGCAACGTGGCTCACACTGGTAGCCCCGCCCTGCTGACTCCCTGAGGCCCCGCCCCGCCCCACCCTACTTTCAAGCCCACCCAACTTTCATGCCCACCCAAGCTGTTGCCACTTGCTTAACCATAGGATTGGCCGGTCTTGGATCCTGCTTCAGGTTTTTCCTAAATTCTTTCAAACGAACAGCATCTGGTCTCAGCGAGCCCCATACCTCTCATTAAGTAATACACTGAAACAAACACAGGGAGGCAGCCAAAATCAGGAGACAAAGAAATAGGTCCCAAATGAAAGAACAGAACAAAACCCCAATAAAAAAACTAAGCGAAATGGAGATAAGCAACCTAACAGATACTGAGTTCAAAATTCTGCTTATAAGGATGCTCAATGAACTTAGTGAGAACCTCAGTGAACTTAGGGAGGGCCTCAAGAGCATAAAAAAGGACCAGTTAGAAATCATGGATACACAGTTAGAATTGAAGGAGGCATTAACTGTAAATAAAGAATAATTTACACAGCTTCAATAATAGAGCATGTAAATCCAAGGAGCAAACCATCGATTTGGAATATAAGGAAGCAAAAAATCCCCAATCAGAACAGCAAAAAGAAAAAAGAATCCAAAAAAAATGAGGATAGTGTAAGGAGTCTCTGGGACAACTTCAAGCGTGCCAACATTCGCATCTTGGAGGTGCCAGAAGGAGAAGAGAGAGAACAAGAAATCAAAAACCTGTTTGAAACAATAATGGCAGAAAACTTTCCTAACTTGGTGAAGGAAACAGACATACAAGTCCAGGAAGCACAGAGAGTCCCAAACAAGATGAACCCCAAGAGGCCCACACAAGACACATCCATCCTCAGAATGCAAAAGGTTCAAATCAAGAAAGAATCTTAAAAGCAGCAAGAGGAAGAGGCATCTATTACCTACAAGGGAGTTCCCATTAGGCTGTCAGCTGATTTCTCAAAGAAACTTTGCAGGCCAGAAGGGAGTGGCAAGAAATATTCAGAGTGATGAAAACCAAGAACCTACAACCAAAATTACTCTGATCCTGCAAAGCTGTCATTTAGAATCGATGGACATATAAAAACTTTCCCAGACAAGAAAAAGTTAAAGGAGTTCATCACTACCAAACCGTTATTATATGAAATGATGGGTCTTTTTGAAGAAAAAGATAAAATGTATGAACAAACAAAATGGCAATGAATACATATCTATCAACAATGGAATATACAAACAAAATGAACAGGTAGAACAGAAACATTCTCATAGATACAGAGAACATTTTGTTGGTTGCCAGTTGGGAGGGTGGTTGGGGGAATGGATGAAAAAGGTGAAGGGATTAAGAAGCACAAATTCATTGCTAGACTGACAAACCTCAAAGGGAAAGGGGTTAGGGGGTGGGAAGAAATAAACCAAAGAACTTATATGCATAACCAATGGAACATCTGTAATACATTTTACATCCAACAATAAAGATTTGGGAAAAAAAAAAAAAAGATTTGACCATGTTCTCTAAAAACAGCTATGAAATAGATATAACCACAATTTATCTTATTTTTTTTAAGTTTAGTATATCTGAGTCAGGACCCAAACAAGTGTCATGCATTGTATTTGTTCAGTGTCTCCTAGGTCTCTCTCTTTTTAATAAAGAAAATACAGCCCTGGCTGGTTTGGCTCAGCGGTTAGAGCGTCGGCCTGCGGTCCGGAGAGACCCGGGTTCGGTTCCCGCTAAAGGCACGTACTTCGGTTGCAGTTTGTCCCCGGCCCTGGTTGGTCGTGCGGGTGGCAGCCACTCGATGAGTCTCTTCACGTCGATGTTTCTCTCTCTCTCTCCCTTCTTCTCTCTCCCTCCCTCTCTATCTGTACAAAAAATGGAAAAATATCCTCGGGTGAGGATAAAAAAAAATAATAAAAAATAAAAAAGAAAATACATACTATTTATTTATTTATTTTTGGTACATGCCCCTAGCGGTAACCAAACCCAGGACTCTCTGGTGCTCAGGCTGATGCTCCAATACTGAGCCAAACTGGCCAGGGCAGAAAATACACACATTTAAAAAAAAATTGATTGATTGAACCCAGCTGGTGTGACTCAGTGTGTGAGCATCAACACATGCACCAAGAGGTTGCCGATTCGATTTCCAGTCAGGGCACATGCCGGGGTTGTGGGCCCAATCCCCGGGGGCCATGCGGGTGGTGGCCAAACGATGTTCTCTCTCATTGATGTTTCTCTATCTCTCTCCTTCTCCCTTCCTCTCTAACAATGAATAAAGAGAAATAATTGTTTTTAATTGATTGATTTTAGGGAGAGAAAAGAACTTTGATTTGTTGTTCTAATTATTTATGCATTCATTGGTTCATTCTTTTTTTTTTTCCTTCACCCGAGGACATTTTTGCATTTATCTTCAGGTAGAGCAGGAGGGAGAGAGGGAGGGAGAAAAGGAGGAAGAGAGAGAGAAACATCAATGTGAGAGAGACACATCAACTGGCTGCCATCCACACGACCCCAACCGGGGCAGGGACATACTGCAACCGAGGTGCGTACCTTAGCAGGAACCGAACCTGGGACTCTGGTCCACGGGCCAATGCTCTAACCGCTGAACCAAACTGGCCAGGACCATTGGTTCATTCTTTTATGTGGCCTGACTGGGAATCTAACCCATAACTTTGGGGTATCAGAACTAATTTAGCTACCAGGCCAAGGCCTCCTAGATCTGTTTTAATGTGTAGATTGTACTCTTCCTCCTCCCCTTTTTTTCCCTCATGTTATTCTTTTCTTCAGGGAAGTACATTGTCCTGTAGATTTTCCCACATTTTGGATTTTCCTGACCAGTATCATTTTCTAGCCCAGCAGTTCTCAAACTTTTTATACCCAGAACTTTTATGTATATGTGTTGTATCTGGCAGTATTTAACTTATCAGAAATTAAAACAGAAACTTTACAATCATATTTGTGTAGATTATTTTTTAGTAAATTAATGCTAAATATATTTTAATATAAATCAAATATTTTAATGAAAAATAACTTTTTCAAAATGAAACATATTAATGAGAAGAGTAGCATTGTTTTACATTTTTTCAAGTATCTTGAATGTTGGAATTAATAGCTGAAGTTGGAGTCTCCTATCTGGCTTTTGCATTGTCTGTTGTGGATCACACCTGACATGCCCTGTGGAAAACTCCCATATATGCTTAAGAGATAATGACAGTGAGGAAGACAAATAACATCTTAGTGTTATTATAAAATTGTTTTGACTTCTCAAATATTATGACCCCAGGTTACTGAAAACTCCAAAGAGCTTTTGTTGATATGGGTTATGTCTATCAATATTATGTTTGACAAATTAAAACTAAGAATTTAACATTTACTTATTGGTTTATTTTAAAATAACAAACTAGACTTAGTAACACAAATAACATTTTATGAAAACAATAATTATGTTTTATAAAATAAAAATATTAACTAAAATTTTTTATAATTTAAAAAAATAAAAATTTGTCTGACGTAATTGATGATGGCTGGGTTCTCATATCTGCCAGCTGTAGGCTCTGTCTTGTTGACACAGTAAGCTAGTAAGGAAGGTTTCAGTTTTCTGCTGTCTAAGATCCATACTATTAGAGAATGCATGTAGTTAAAAAGGTAACAAAATCACAGAACTCATTGGTACAGCTCTGTTTTTGAAAAGTGGATTACTTACTGTTCTCTTTTCTCATTTTTGTTGGGCCCCCTTAAGTCCTGTTCTTGAAGTTTAATAGTCAGCCAGAGATTTGGGTAGATTTTATACTCAGATTTTGGGTTCCACCCCTTCTGTGGTTCTCTGGCTTCCAAGGGTTCTGCCTTAAGTGTCCGGCTGTTTTCCTACCATTGCTTTGCTAAGCCACAGCCATGGACCTGGGGAGCATTTTCAGGCAAGGGAGTTGCAAACTTGGGATTCTTCTGTGAGTTACTGCTTTACGAGTATAAATATTGGCTAAATTTTGATGGCTGTTAAACACTTCAGACTCATTACTAGGCACATAATAGATGCTCAGTAAATATTTGATGACCAAGTGAATGGCCCTATTCCTAAACAGTGGTTCAAGATGTTTCTGGCAGAATTGTGGAAAATGAGATCTCCCGATATTCACAGGCTGTGAATCTACCTGGGTGGAAGCTTCCACTCAGCTGCCACACTGCTGAAATACCTCTTTAATCCTTTGTGACAATGGTTTTAGTTTCTAGCTCAAAGTCCACAGCCTCGTCCTGTTCTTACCAAGTTCCTGTGGATTTTGTTAAATAAATGCCTCACAGTTTGTCATAAGCCATTTAATATATCTCCAGAGACTTTGTGTGATTATGGTAATTTTGAACAGTTTTAACATCTCTCTCTCCAGAGGACAGGTTTCCCCAAGTTCCTCACACTACCACTCTGGAAGTCTGTCGTGCCTGTTGTCATTTGTTTTTAAGACAGAGTCATTATTGGATACCAATGTTAACCTCTAGATATACTTTAACATATTTTAAGCCATAATGCTTAATTTTACAAAGACCTTAATAAAACCTTCCCTTTGTAATAAACATTATTTTAGGAGCCTTACTTTTCCTTAATGTTTTAAACTAGATTTGCTAATGGGCGTTCGACTGGGCTTATTTTGGACAGTGGAGCCACTCATACCACTGCAATTCCAGTTCACGATGGCTATGTCCTTCAGCAAGGTAAATGTATTTTCACCAGTGTGTGCTGAGACAGTGTTCGCCGTCATGAGGACGCAGATACTGACACTGGGCTGTCACAACATACCAGGTTACAAATAATGTCATTTTTTCAAAGATAGTTTTTTAAAATGTTGGTATATAAGATTTAAAACTGATCCATGTGCATGCTCTGAGAGATAGTTCTGTTAATTCTACTTGAAAACAATTATATATATATCAGTCCACGGAGGACATTTGTCCCAAGAGGTTTGGACTTAATGCTCTCTTGCCTTGTATAATCTGTCTCATAGGTATTGTGAAGTCCCCTCTTGCTGGAGACTTTATTACAATGCAATGCAGAGAGCTCTTCCAGGAAATGAACATAGAACTGATTCCCCCATATATGATTGCATCAAAAGTAAGTGATGACTGGATTATCTTTTTTTTTTTTTTTATCCTCACTCGAGGACATTTTTGCATTTTTTTGTTCAGATAGAGCAGGAGGGAGAGAGAGGAAGAGAGAGAGAGAAACATCGATGTGAAGGGACACATCGAGTGGCTGCCACCCGCACGACCAACCAGGGCCGGGGACAAACTGCAACCAAGGCACATGCCCTTAGTGGGAACCGAACCTGGGTCTCTCTGTACTGCAGGCCGACACTCCAACCGCTGAGCCAAACCGGCCAGGGCTGACTGGATTATCTTTTTGGGATTTACCTCTTCACCTCATTTTGTGAGCTCTGTTAACCTGGCCCATGCTCTTGGTACTCAGGAACCTGTGCGTGAAGGATCACCAGCAAACTGGAAAAGAAAAGAGAAGTTGCCTCAGGTTACAAGGTCTTGGCACAATTACATGTGTAACGTAAGTGACCATTATCCTCTTTATGAAAGAGGTATAGTCTGTAAGTCTTTGAATTCAATAAGAGCACTATTTTCAGTCTCTACATTTTTTATGGTATTCTAGAAATAGAATTAATAGGGTTTTTTTGGGGGTGGGGTTGCTTTTCATCTTTGCCAAACAAATATGTCAACAAACAACTATGTATTCATTTAGATTATTGTGGTTAGACCTGAAAGGAATTTTGGTTTGGGGGTAAAAGCAAGCATTATGCTATTCTGGGCTTTTTTTTTTAGTTTTATGTTTTTGGTGGTGGTGAAATGGTTCTCATCTATAGCAGTCTCCTGGTATGCCTCAGTTATGTTCTCTTACCTAACATCAGTCAGCCATATAGATAATGTGGATTATTGTACATAGCAAGGAGCCAATGAGAGATTCTTTTGATTAAAAATCCGTTTCTGAACATTGGACTTACAGGGGGACAGGTTAGTAAAACAACCTCTCATCGCACAGATATACATTCATTTCTCACAGTAAAAGGATAGGAAAGTCATAATTCACTATGGCAGGAATATATCCTATCTGACTGTTTTTGCACCTAAAAATAAAGGTTTTGTCGGTGTTTGGTACAAGGAAAAATTGTGGAAATGATTAGCAATTTTGACTAGATATTAGACAAGATTTATCCTTAGCAGTTCAGAGGTCATGTATTTCAGAGCAAATTATTAAATTGTTTTACACTATATGCAGTCATGTAAAGTTACATCAGATGCAATGTATATGCTTGTGTGTGTGTGTGTGTGTGTATCCAGGTAATGAAATTTTACTTCTAAGTCTAAGCTTATTTTTATGGTAAAAACAATGTTTTGAAACTGGTTTTGTTGTGCAGGACTGTGATACAAAAGCTCCCAGATGTTTTTATCATATTACCCATCAATAATTGTTGTGATTTAAATGTTCTGCATTTTCCCTTATATTCAGATGTTTATAATTGGATTTCTTTGATACTTAAAACTCCTTGCTAGATAGATTTATACCCTTGAAATTACTTTCCCATTCAGGAACAGGGCCCAGTTTCCTTAAGAAAAGTATTTTATAGATGATGTTATGAAACTCTAGATTGCAAAGACAAATCTCAATAACCTTGTTTCTTAAACTCTCTTTACTTTTATCCACAGTGTGTTATCCAGGATTTTCAAGCTTCAGTTCTTCAAGTATCAGATTCACCGTATGATGAACAGTATGTTTTCTTATTTTGCTTATGAGACAGAATTTAATAGCTTATAAAACACTTCATACTAATTTTTTTTTAACTGTATACTTCCTAAGTGAGGAATGAAATTGATTTTAGGTAAAAAAAAAAAAAAAAAAAAAAAATTGTAGAACATGCTTAACTGGTCGAAAGGTAAAGAGTTATGTTAAGAAATGTGAAATTACATTTGAAAAGAAAGTAGATATTCTCACTCTGTTTTTATATAAGTTGATTCCTTAGTAGTTTATCATTTTTTAAGAGGATTGCTTTTGTCTTTGTTTAATGATGTTTACTGTGTTTTCAGAGTAGCCGCACAGATGCCAACTGTTCATTATGAATTCCCCAATGGCTACAACTGTGATTTTGGAGCAGAACGGTTAAAGATTCCTGAAGGGTTATTTGACCCTTCCAATGTAAAGGTATGAAAGCTTATTTCATAATTAGCCTGGCTTTTCCTGTATGTGTAGAGATCTTGTGTAATTATAAAACCTAAATAATGCTAAATTTTTTTGGATGTGCTTTATGTTTGAAGTTCTCTGTGTCACTACTCATTTTATTTTGTTGTAGGGATTATCAGGAAATACAATGCTGGGAGTCAGTCACGTTGTCACTACAAGTGTTGGGATGTGCGATATTGATATCAGACCAGTAAGTGCCAGTCTCCTGTATATGGCATGGAGGTATCTTTTAGGGCAATGAAATGCCCCCACATCATTATTTAAGTTAGCGGCTGTGTTCGTTAACTTTGAAGTCCATGTTATAACAGAATGTGTAAAAGGATGGAGTAGGAAAAGGAAAAAGTGCAACACTCTAGAGCTGTGGTGTGCAACGTGGTATCAACTGGCCACATGGGGCAATTTAAATTAAAACAAATAAAAATGTCAAAGTCAGTTCTTAGGTCATACAGGCCACATCATAAATGTAGCTGGGAGCCACTGTATGACAGTGCAGATACACAGCATTTCCATCTGACAAAGTTCTTTGGGACAGTGCTGTTCTAGAGATTTCCTGAAATGTGACACACCAAAGTATATATTATTGGCAGTTTTTCTTGTATATAGTACAGTTTTTTCAATAAGGTGTGGTTTAAATTCAGTAATTTTTACAAGGGATGTAGTTTAACTGATCTACTTACTCTCATACTGTTGTGCTTTTTCAAGTTTTAAATACTAACTTCATATTATATTACTATACTGATTATAGATAGATTATATTATACTTAAACCCTGGATTCAATTAGTAGCCAATACAGGGGTGCGCACATGGAGGTGGTGATTATTACCAGAGTTTATTAACTCAAAAGAATGTCACTCACAACTGCATACCTACCTTTGCCAACCCCTGTAGCCTGCCTCAATTTTCTTTGAGTTAATTCCTTTGCTTAGAGCATAGTGCCAAAAGCTAAGGGTGGATTTAAAAACCATGTTGTTAATCATGGGGGCTATAAAAAAATGTTCATTATTTTAACTATTCACCTAGCAGGCATGTCCTGTTTCCAAACGATAGGGGTATAATGTGGAATTCTTTTTTTTTTTTTTTTTTTTTTTAATCCTCACCCGAGGATATTTTTTCCATTTTTTGTACAGATAGAGTGGGAGGGAGAGAGAGGAAGGGAGAGAGAGTGAGAAACATCGACGTGAAGGGACACATCGAGTGGCTGCCACCCGCACGACCAACCAGGGCCGGGGACAAACTGCATCCGAAGTATGTGCCCTTAGCGGGATCCGAACCCGGGTCTCTCCGGACCGCAGGCCGACGCTCTAACCGCTGAGTCAAACTGGCCAGGGCTAATGTGGAATTCTTTAGTGCAAACCTAAGCCTACTTTTGAGGGAATGCAGTTCAACAGCTTTATGTTTTTAGTGAAACTTCTTCTTTTAACAAATGTTGACTTCACAGGAGATTCTTTTATACTACATTTTGTCTTCCAAAAGTTAGATGATTTATACCTTTGAAATATTTTTTAAATATGAACTTAGCCACTGACAAAGCAGACTGATATTTAACTTTCTGATGCATACTTTCAGACTAGAGGTAAATGTACTCTTCTAAGTAGGAATTTATTTTTATTTGGAGAGGTCTCAGCATGTGGATTTTGTAGAAGCTCTCCACACGATTCGGATGCACACCTGTGCAAAAGAGAAAGACAGCATGTCCATTGTCCATCACAATCATTAATGAGTCACAGTGTCTCATTTTAAATACCAGAACTTCTGGATGAGCATTCTAAGCTGAAGTCATTACAAAATATATCTCTAATTAAATATTGGCAGCTCTCTGCCAACAAATAATGATGGGTTTTAGAATACTGACTTTAAGTTAGTGGTCCTTAAACTTTAATGCATATTAGAATTATCTGGAGAGTTGTAAAAAACTAAAAAATCCATCCCCTGGTTTTGAATCTAACTGCCCAGGCACTGGTGTTTTAAAATCTGCCTAAATCAATGGAATGTACAGTCAGCACTGAAAACCCCACTGGGTTAAGCCACTAGATCTAGATAGAAGTAAAACAATTTAAATAGAAAGGGAAATTTTAGTGGGAGACATGGTTTTATTTGTAGTTGTGTTTAACAACTGTTGGAACATTCGAAACTAATTTATTTTTGTTTTGTGTCCTAGGGTCTCTATGGCAGTGTCATAGTGGCAGGAGGAAACACGCTAATACAGAGCTTCACTGACAGGTTGAATAGAGAACTGTCTCAGAAAACTCCCCCTGTGAGTTTTGTTTATTCTTTAGTGGTTTTCTTCCCCCACTGCTGTCATTTTATAGATAAGGTTTGTTTTTCAGTAGACTGATACTTTGTGTGTGCCAGGTACAGTATTACTTCAATTAAGTTAATATCCCTTATTAATCAAATTTTCCTAGATGACATCTGTTAGTTACTCTTGTACTATTTGACTGTCATTTTAGTCATTGATGCCATACCTAAGTGCCTATAGTCTACTAGGCACTGGGGATATAAAATATAGTCCCTGCCCAGCAGGTGCTCATTCTGCAAGGATGAACAGACACGGGAAATATGTGCTCAGTGGTTCTGAACCAGGCGCTCTTGGGAACAGTGAGGAGAGGAAAGCCTCATGAAGAAGCAAGCGATGAGAATAGGAGTTAAGTGGTTGGTAATTTATGCAAGGACCACTAGGTGGAGGGACAACCATGAGCACAATATAAATGGAAGGTGGCATACTCCGGTATCTCAAAGTAGTTGGCTTATCATTGGTGCAGAAGTGGGGAGAGCAATAGGCTGGTTATTGGATGGTGTTTTGTTTCCCAGAGATGCCATAAAGTACCACAAAGTGGGTAGCTTAAAACAACAGAAATTTCTCTCTCTCTCTTTCTGCCATGTAAGGTCACACAGAATTGAGCAGTGTGTAAGCTCTCACCAGAAATAGAATTGGCACACATACTGATCTTGGACTTCGATGCTGCAGAAGTGAGACAATAAATTATTGTTATTTAAATTAAAAAACAAACAGCATGTAACAACAGAAACTTATTTTCTCAGTTCTGGAAGTTAGAGGTCTCACATTAAAGTGTCGGTAGGGTCTGGCCAGTGTGGCTCAGTGGTTGAGCATTGACCCATGCACCAAGAAGTTGCCAGTTCGATTTCCGGTCAGGACACATGCCCAGATTGTGGGCCTGATCCCTAGTGGGGGACATGTAGGTGGTGCCCAATTGATGTTTCTATCTCTTTCTCCCTCTCACTTCCTCTCTAAAATCAATAATGGAAAATAAAGTGTCGGTAGGACCATGTCTCTCTGAGAATCCTTCCTTCCTTCTTCCTGGCATGTGAGGGTTTGCCAACTTTCCATAGCATTTCCTGATTGCAGCTACAACACTTCAGTCTCTGTCTCTGGGTCATAACGGCATTCTCTCTTCGTGGGTCTGTTCTTTTCTTACAAGAACACTAGTCATAATGGATTAAGGTCCCACCTTACTCTAGTATGACCTCATCTTAATTTGTATCTTTTTTTTTTTGAAGCTATTTTTTTTTTTTTTTTTTTTTTATCCTCACCAGAGGACATTTTTCCATTTTTTACTCAGATAGAGCGGGAAGGAGAGAGAGGAAGAGAGAGAAACATCGATGTGAAAGGGACACATCGAGTGGCCGCCACCCACACGACCCAACCAGGGCCGGGGACAAACTGCAGCCAAGGTACATGCCCTTAGCGGGAACCGAACCCGGGTCTCTGTGGACCGCAGGCTGACGCTCTAACCGCTGAGCCAAACCGGCCAGGGCTTTTTTTTTTTTTTTAATTAATTTATTTTTGTTACAGATGTTTCTCCTTTTTCTCCTCAGACACCCTCCTCCCTATCCCACCCCTCACCAAGCATTGTTGTCCATGTCCATTGGTTACACATACATGCATATAAATTCTGTGATTTATCTCATCCCTCCCCCCCGCCCCCCTCCTCTGAGGTTTGTCAGTCTGAACCATACTCTTTATGTCTCTGGGTCTGTTTTGTTCATCAGCTTTTTTTGTTTTTTATATTCTAAAAATAAGTGATATCATGTGGTATTTGTCTTTTTCTGACTGGCTTATTTCACTTAGCATAATACTCCATGTCATCTCAAAGGATACGAGATCTTTCTTTCTTACAGCTGCATAATGTTCCATTGTGTATATGTACCACAGCTTTTTTATCCACTCATCTATTGATGGATATTTGGGCTGTTTCCAGATCTTAGCTATTGTAAATAGCATTGCTATGAACATAGGGGTACATATATTCTTTGTGATTGGTGTTTCAGGCTTCTTGGAATATATTCCTAGAAATGGGATCACTGGGTCAAATGGAAGTTCAATTTTTAATTTTTTTAGGAAACACCATACTGTTTTCCACAGTGGCTGCACCAGTCTGCATTCCCACCAGCAGTGTACTAGAGTCCCCTTTTCTTCACACCCTCGCCAGCACTTGTTTGATGATTTGTTGATGGCAGCCATTCTGGCAGGTGTGAGGTGATATCTCATAGTTGTTTTAATTTGCATCTCTCTGATGATTAGTGATGTTGAGCATTTCTTCATATGTCTCTTGGCCATTTGTATGTCCTGTTTGGAGAGGTGTCTATTTAGGTCCTCTGCCCATTTTTTTTTATCCTCACCCAAGGACACCTTTCGATATTTTGTTCAGATAGAGTGGGATGGAGGGAGAGAGAGAAACATCGACATGAAAGGGACACATGGAGTGGTTGCCACCCACACGACCCAATCAGGGCTGGGGACAAACTGCAACCGAAGTACATGCCCTTAGCGGGAACCGAACCCAGATCTCTCCACACCGCAGGCCAATGCTCTAACCACTGAGCCAAACCAGCCAGGGCCTCTGCCCATTTTTTTTTTTTTTTTTTTTATCCTCACCCGAGGACATTTTTCGATATTTTGTTCAGATAGAGTGAGAGGGAGAGAGAGAGAGAGAACATCGACGTGAAAGCGACACATCGAGTGGTTGCCACCCACACGACCCAACCAGGGCCGGGGACAAACTGCAGCCAAGGTACATGCCCTTAGCGGGAACCGAACCCGGGTCTCTCCGGACCGCAGGCCAACGCTCTAACCGCTGAGCCAAACCGGCCAGGGCTCTGCCCTTTTTTTAATTGTGTTCTTTGTCTCCCTTTTGTGGAGTTGTATGAGCACTCTATATATTTTGGAAATTAACCCCTTATCTGATGTATTGTTTAGCAATTATGCTCTCCCATATAGTGGGTTCCCTTTCCATTTCTTAATTTATATCTTAATTACATTTGCAAAGACTCTGTTTCTAAATAAGATTACATTCACAGGTACCAAGGATTAGAACTTCAATATAGCTCTTTGGGGGACACAGTACAGTCACAGATATGTACCACGTCATGTCGTTTATTAATAGCGAACATAAAGGATCGAATTTGGCAGAGGACTGAAGAGCTCTTATGTCTGTTTAAAAAAGATGTCTGGTCTGGCCGGTGTGGCTAAGTGCTTTGAGCATTGTCCCAGGGACTGGGAGGTCCCGGTTCAATTCCTGGTCAGGGCACATACCCAGGTTGTGGGCTTTACTCCCAGTAGGGGGCATGCAGGAGGCAGCCGATTGTTGTTTCTCACATAGATGTTTCTATCTCTATCTCCCTTTTTCTCTCTAAAAAAAATTCAATAAAAAGTATTTTGAAAAAATGAATCAACCTTATTAAAAACAAATAAGTAAAATAAAATAAAAAAGATTTATGTGCATTGTGATGACTTTTATGTATGTATTTATTTATTTTTTAATCCTCACCCGAGGACATTTTTTGCATTTATCTTCAGATAGAGTGCGAGGGAGAGAGGGGGAAAGAGAGAAAGAGAGAAACATAGATGTGAGAGACACATTTACTGGTTGCCACCCACATGATCCCAACCGGGGCCGGGGACAAACTGCAACCGAGGTACGTGCCCTTAGCGGGAACTGAACCCGGGACTCTTTGGTCTGCAGGCCGATGCTCTAACTGCTGAGCCAAACCAGTCAGGGCTGTGATGGCTTTTAAAAGGATAGAAGAACCTGTCCTGCCGGTATGGCTCAGTGGTTGAGCATTGACCCATGCACCAAGAGGTTGCCGGTTCAATTCCCGGTCGGGACACATGCCCAGGTTGTGGGCCCAATCCCCAGTGAGGAGCATGCAGGAGGAGGCCAATCGATGTTCTCTCTCATCGATGTTTCTATCTCTCTCTTCCTCTCCCTTCCTCTCTCTCTAAAATCAATAAAGGGAAAAAATATATTTTTTTTAAATAAATAAATAAAAGGATAGAAGAACCTGGTTTGGGGAGTAGGTAGTTTACATGGTACATTGATAGAATAACAGTTATATCCTTCCATTTTAAAACTTCTATCACATAGTTTCTTGTAAGGTATTCTAAACTAATATTTATTTAAAAAACTTATTAGTGGTGCCCTGGCCAACTAGTTCAGTTGGTTAGCGTGTCAAGGTTGTAAGTTGGATCCCCAGTCAGGGCACATGCAAGAATCAACCAATGAATGTATAAATAAGAGGAACAACAAATTGATGTTTGTCTCTCTCTCTTAAAAATCAATAAAAAATTAAAAAACTAAGGATTACATAGACCCTAACAGCGTTTGTATATTAATTTGTTAGTCTTTTGGTTTCAAATATAAAGGAATATTTTACATATGCCACATTTTTGTAATTGTTATTTAAATATTGACATAGGCACTAAATGACTCTTGCCTTATATTTACACCATTCTTGGAGATTTAGTCATATCTGGAACATACCTTCATTATAGTGCTAATCATTGGATTTTTAGAAAGTCCCAGAATAGTAAATATAGACATTGGCTATCAAGACCAGTTAGATACTACTTTTATTCATTAGGAGGCAATTAAAAATTAATGAAATAGAAACATTCCTCTGTCATAGATAATCAATTCCTCATCTACAAAACCCTCATTCATCTCTCCTATTCCAATCACTCCCTCCCACCCATGACATAGTCCATCCAATCCTGCACACATTTATTTCACTGTGAAAAAGACTTACACTGTGAGTTTATATTCATAGCAATGAAAGTATCAACAATTTGTGAACTGTCCCCAGTGGGAAATTCCTAGGTAGATAAAAATGTCTTGATTCAGGAATTGAGAGTGATAGTGCTGAGGCAGAAACTTATGTTTATAGTGAGTGTGAGTTCAAAACATAAACACTAATTAGAAAAGAAAGCGGTATGAATAAAACACCTGAGATCTGATATCTGCATTTTATTTTCTAAGTGGGAGAGGGTATTGGGGTGTGGAGGGGTGAACTAAGAAAGAAGGGTTAGGATAGCATGAAGCCTAAAAGAGTAGTAGTGAGAACATTTAGGATTGCTGAAGGGGCTGCAGGTTGGGGTAATAATTGGACATCGTGTTAGAAGTGAAGCAATATACGTAGCACGTAGCACGGTACCCGATTTATAGTTAAGTGTTAAGGATGTTTATGGTTATAGGATATAAAAGGTAAATGCCACACTCTTTAGTATGCTGTTTTCTAAGGTTTATATATTTTATTATCAAATATTACACATTAAAAGCCATAAAGTACTTTTAAAACATCTATATAGTAGGTCAACCTATGCCTATTATAAACCCAGATGGTGCAAAAAAAAAAAAAAAAATCACGTATAATCTGTTTCAACTAGTCGTTAGGAAATCCTCAAGGCTGAATTTCCTAATTGGAATCACCTGTTGTATTTAATCATACTAATATTTATTCTTCCCTCTCGATTTTAGAGTATGCGGTTGAAATTGATTGCAAATAATACGACAGTGGAACGGAGGTTCAGTTCATGGATTGGTGGCTCTATTCTAGCTTCTCTGGTGAGTAGATAAACTACTTTGAAAAATAGGTAACAATTCGTGTTGAATGATTTAAGTTAAATATACCACTGAAAACACTAAATTTGGTAAAAGACTTCCTCTCAAACCAGTGGGAGGGAATCTGCTAACCTGTTCACGCCTCTTCCAGTAGTACTCTCATTGGCACTGGGCAGGACTCCTGCAGCATATTAAAAATTGAATCAATCCCTCTCAGGTTTTGGTTGCTCCCTGGCTTGTTGCTGAGAGAAAGGAAGGAATTGGTTCTTGGGGCAAATGGTACAGTCATGGTGCTGCGTTTTACATGTTGCTCAGACTGGTGCCTGCCTTGATCAGGAGAAAAAGTCCTTGCACTTATCTGCACCCTGGACTGGAGAATGTTCCCTTCTCTTCAGAGCAATCAGATAGATGTCACCAAGTACTTGTGCTAAACATTTTTAAGCAATTACATGTTTGGAACTGTCCATGCATGTATTTCTTCTCTATGTTCTATTTCCAGTCTTTCAGCAGATCCTAGAGGAAACCTAGATGCCATGTATGAATACACTTGAATAGAGTTAGTCACGTAGCCCAGGTTCCTTCCTCCTTTGGTCACTTTCCTCCTTTCACCATCTATGTTTATTGGTAAAGTGCTGGTACTCTTGTGTGTGTACTTGTGATATTTTGTCCTGGTTCTGACGAGCACTTTTCAGTTCTAAATGTTACTATGACTCAGTCTAGAGCATCTCTTCAATTTCTGTACTAGGTTCAAGCCTCCTAAGTTTCTGTTGTTGTCTTAGATGGGCACCAAGCGATCATAGCTAAACCCTCCATCTTCCTTTCACAGCCTTTTTCTGTCCTCATGACAGTGTAACAGGTATAGAAGGATTTAATATTCCTTCTAACCTGAAGTAGTGCCTGTGGGTGTTCTGGAGGAAGGCAGAAACGAGAGTAATGGAATACTATTTGGGGGCAGTGAGTTTAAGACTTCTCCAAAGATTGGGAGTTGTAAAATAACGATGTCTAATTTTTCTTTCCATTTTACAGGGAACCTTTCAACAGATGTGGATTTCCAAACAAGAATATGAAGAAGGAGGGAAGCAGTGTGTAGAAAGGAAGTGCCCTTGAAAAGTGTTCCCACACCTCCACCTTCCTGTCACCTTAACGTTTCATAGCTTTAGTACACTCAGGAAAAGAATGACCATCTTTTGTAGAATGTTTATACATTTTTGTATTTTTCAATTTCCACTTAAATTTCTCAAGGCTTTAACTGGCTCTATTAGTTAAAATTAGGTTGTGCTGTCCTTGAAATGTACTTATAAGCATTGTATAATTTTATATAAATATCTATTTTTTCTAAATATTTTGCTTTCCATCAGATGCTTTTCAACTGTGCTTAGTATATTAATTACCAGTGAAATGTTAGAATTGTTTTTTATTGACGAGTAAAACTTATTGCCTATGCTTTTTACCTTAGGCTTAAAAATTAAATAAAAATACTAGCCATTCCAGAAATGTTTTTGGACTGTTGTGTTATGACTTGCTACTTTAAATACTAATGTATTTATCAGCACTGTTGCCCTGGCCGGTTTGGCTGGTCGGCCTGTGGACCAGAGAGTCTCGGGTTCAGTTCCCGCCAGTGGCACATACCAAAAATAGAAAGAAAGACAGTAGTCACTGTTTATTAACAGCAGTGTCCACACTACCTTCATATCCTTTTAATAGTAGGAATTATGTAACCAGAACTGCTGTTCCTGCAGACATTTACATTACTTTCCCACTCTAAGATTCAGGTGATATTGAAGTCTGCTTAGGTGTCACAAATGATAAAATGAAAATTTAATCTGAATTTTATACCTGATTTTTAAAAGCATGAGCACTTCCAGAATTTCTTTATAAATCTCTTAAAATATTAGTTACTTTCCTATACAGATTGTTATCAAAGAGAAACAAAATGATAAATTAAGAGTGCAGACATTGCCCTGGCCAGTTTGGCTCAGCGGTTAGAGCGTCGACCCGCGAATCAGAGAGATCTGGGTTCGGTTCCCGCTAAGGGCACGTACCTCGGTTGCAGTTTGTCCTCGACCCCGGTTGGGGTTGGGTGGGTGGCAACCACTCGATGTGTCTCTCTCACATCGATGTTTCTTTCTCTCTCTCTCCCCCTCCCTCCCTCCCTATCTGAAGATAAATGCAAAGAAAAACAGTCCTCCAGTGAGGATAAAAAAAAAAAAGAGTCCAGACATCTTAGACAACACTTGACTTCTGGGCTTCAGAAAGATGTGGAAACTTTGCCTGAAGACGTATTGCTTTCTTTTTCTCCAAATTTTTCTTCCTTGCTTGGATACGGGCTTGTTTCTCACATTTCAGTCTGGAATAATAAAAGCATAAAAGCCAATTATACACATCTCTTTCTGTTAGTACTATCAAAACATGCCCAAGTCAATGAATTAAAGCCCTCAATGATGCCAGTCTATATATTAGGTGTGTCATGTATATTAAACTTGCATGATCACTGTAAACATACACAAGTCAGATAAATGTGAAATCAAGAGCATCTAACCAGCCATGGCTGGTGTTACTCAGTGGTTAGCACGTCAGCCCTTGTACCAAAGGGTCTCAGGTTTAATTCCTGGTCAAGGGCATGTACCTGGGTTGCAGTTTCAACCCCTGCCCAGGTCAGGGCACATGTGGGAGGCAACCAATCAATCAACCAATAGATGTGTGTCCCTCACATGGGTTTCTGTCTCACCCTTCCCCACTCCCCCGTCCTTCCCTCCTCCCTTCCACTCTCTCTAAAAATCAATGGAAAAATATCCTCAGGTGAGGATTAACAACAACAAAACATCTGTAATCCTGCAGCAATTCTTATTTCTTGTCTAGAATGAATAGATCTTCTGACCCTGTAGAAGAATGATCTATCTTTCTTATTTAAAAACACTGTACTTTTATTGACTACATTAGATTTTTTATTATCTTGAGATATATCCTGAGACTTTTGGGAATTACCTAATTTCAAATAGCACTCAGTCTAGCATATCCTTTCCCCTACAACAGAGAGAACAAAGCCATGTTTAGAGATGATGCTTAGATGCTAGTTAGACTCATCGCTCTTATCCTAAGTGAGTTTCTTTGTACCCATCAGCATCCCAGGGCATGGGGCATTTGTGCCTCACCAAATTATGTTGACCTCTGTGGTCATGCAGGAATTGTCAGAACTGTAAACAATAAATTCATGGATGCCAAGCCTCTACAGTACTGACTCTAATATAAAATTTAATACAAGAGACAAGTACTGAATAAGCAATATGTCATTGCTATGGTGGAGGTCACAGAAATTGGAGATAAGGGGGATATTTGGGTAAAGACAACGTGTATATAAAAAAAAATGATATAAGCTACCTTGTAAATTAAGACTAATCAAAGTTGAAATTAGATTATTCTACTCATTAATCTTTGCTCCAATTAAATTTTGAACATTTATAAGAAATAACCATATCTGAAAGAATAAAGGTTTGCTCTTCTTAAGACTATTTAAAAAAGCAATTTCATGCTTTGAAGGTAAGGCTGGTATCATGCTAAGAGAAATACGCCAATCACAGAGAGACAAATACCACATGATCTCATTTGTGGAACATAATGAACAAAAAAAGCTGATGAACAAAACAGACCCGGAGACATAGAAAGGAGTATGGTTCAGACTGACAAACCTCAGAGGAGGGGTGAGGGGAGGGGGCGGAAGGGATGAGATAAACCAAAGAACTTATATGCATGTATGTTCATGACAAACAACAAAGCTTGGTGGGGGAGGAGATAGGGAGGAAGGTGTCGGGGGGGGGGGGGCATCTGTAACAATAATAAATTAATTTAAAAAAAGGAAAAAAACGTAGTTTCAGCCCTGGCGGTTTGGCTCAGCCGTTGGAGTGTTGGCCTGCGGACCAGACAGTCCTGGGTTCGGTTCCCACTAGGGGCACGTACCAAAAAAAAAAAGTAGTTTCAAAAAGAAAATAATTAGCATGTGTATAAAACCTGTAAGAGTAACCCTGGATTTGCTCTGGCTGATTTGGCTCGGCCCACGGACCAAAGAGTCGCGGGTTCAATTCCGGTCAAGGGCACGTACCTCAGTTGCAGTTTGTCCCCAGCCCCGGTTGGGGTCGTGTGGGAGGCAGCCAGTCAATGTGTCTCTCTCACACTGATGATGTTTCTCTCCCTGCCCGCTCCCACTCTATCTGAAGATAGGTAAATATTCTCGGGTGAGGATTGAAAAAAAAAAATTAACAATGGATTCATAATTTCTCATATTGTTTTAAAAGTCATGTTATTTATGGCTTCACCTTATATGATTAAGGGGCAGAAAGGTCAAATGACACATTAGGCTTGGCACAAAACACGGCCAGTGCAGTGCAGTTAGATTATTTTCAATCGCTTAGCATGTGATCTGGTCTTAACATGTGTATAGGTGGAGAGATTCCAATGCTGTAGGAACAGGAGCAGACAAAAAGAAAAACAAGTTATGTTTAGGAAACCAGAAGAAAAGTCTGACTTCAGTGAAGGGTAAGTAAAGCTAAGACTGAATTGTGGGAACAGTGGGTAGAGAGAGGTTTGGATTTTATCCTGTAAACAAGAAGCTGCTGTTGTGAGGGTTTGAACAGTACTGATGTGATAAAAAGGTTTGAGGAAAATTAATGTGAGTGGAAGCAATATCTGAGACTAAAGCAAGGAAGATGTTCAACCATTCGATTTGATGAACAGGGACTGCACTAGGGCAGAGTGTGTGGAGGAAGGACGGACCCTGCAGACAGTCTGCAGGGAAACTTAAATCAAGGACTAAGTCTAGAGCACTGGTGATGAAAAAGATGAATGACATGTAGCATCAAATTTGAGTGAATATACTATAGATAAAAGGGTTCGGGACCCAATTCCACTCGGGGTACATATGGGTTTCCCACACCACCTGACTGTCAAGAATTCAACTCAATTCTGACACTACCTATCCAGACATGGTTTCAGAGGTTGTCACCTATTCTTCTGACCGATTCCCGCTTTGGACTAAACACCAGTCGAAAGTCCAAGTTGTTACCTGTACTTCTGACTGACTGGCTACAGCACATCACAGAACTCAGGAAACCTGTTTACTCACTAGCTTACTACATGGTATAAAAGGGTATAACTCACAAACAGCTAAATGACATGCACAGGGCAAGGTCTGGGAGAGAGGGCAGTTTCCATGCGCTCTAGCCACACCACTCTCCCCAAATCTCCACCTCTTCATCAGACCAGCTCTCCAAACCCTGTCCTTTTGGGATTCCCTTTCTATGGAGGCTCCATCACATGGGCACTATTGGTTAAATTATTTACCACAGGCAATTAATTCAACCTCTAGCCCCTTTCCCCTCCCCAGAAATCATGGGATGGGGCTGAAAATTTCAATCTTCTAGTCAAGGTTGGTTCCCCTGGCAACCAGCCCCCAATCTTAAGTACTTTCCAAAAGTTATTCATTAACATAACAAAAGACACCTTTGCTTTTTCTTTTTTTTCTGGCAATAAGAAAGGATTTTAGCCCTGGCCGGTTTGGCTCAGTGGTTGGAACATTGGCTTGCAGACCAGAGTCCTGAGTTCGATTCCCGCCAGGGGCACGTACCAAAAAAAGAAAGGATGTTAGCTGTGGCTCAGTGGATTGAGGGTCATCCCATGGACTGACAGGTCCTGGTTTGATTCCGGTCAGGGGTCAAGGCATAAGCCTGGGTTGCAGCTCGATCCCCAGTAGGGGGCATGCAGGAAGCCACAGATTGGTATTTCTCTCTCACACTGATGTTTCTCCCCCCCTTCCTCTCTCTAAAATATCAACATGTAAATAAAAAAAAAGAATTTTAGACCCTGGAGGGTGTTTCTCAGTGGTTAGAACGTAGGCCCACTGACCGAAGGGTCTTGGGTTTGATTCCCAGTCAAGGGCACATACCTGGGTTGCAGATTTGATCCCCAGGCATGTACGGGAGGCAACCAATCTGTCTCTCTCTCTCACACTGATGTTTTTTCCTTTCTCTCTCTCCTTCCCACCCTCCCTCCCTTCTGCTCCCTCTCTAAAAAAAAATCTTTGGGTGACAAGTAACAAAAAAAAGAGAAAGAAAGAAAGGGTTTTAGGAGTTCCATGACAGAAACAGGAACAAAGTAAACATACATTTCTTATTATAAATCACAACAAATAAAACTAGAAATGAGAAGTAGCTGGTTTGGTGGGGTAAATGAAAAATTTAAATTGTGATTCTAAAGCACACTAAAATACCTTAAAGATCAGTTTAAAGATATATTTCATTCCTGTTTAAATTATTTTTATAACTTTTTATTCTTATTTAATCCTTACCTGAAGATATTTTTTCATTAATTTTTTTTCTTCAGGTAGAGTGGAAGGGAGGGAGGGAGGAAGAGAGAAACATCAATGTGAGAGAGACACATCGATTCCTTGCCTACTGCCCCCCCCCCCCCCCCAATCCATAACCTGGGCATGTGCCCCGACTGGGAATCTAACCGGGAATCTTTTGGTGCATGGGATGACACCCAAACAGTTGAGCCACATCAGCCAGGGTGAAAAGTCTTTTTTTTTTTTCTTTATTGATTTTAGAGAGAGAGGAAGAGAAAGGGGGAGAGAGAAACATTAATGAGAGAGAACAGATTTGCCACCTCCTGCATGCCCCCCCCCCCCAACTGGGGATCAGGCCCACAACCTGGGCATGTGCCCTGACCGGGAATTGAACTGGTGAACTCTTGGTGCATGGGTTGACACTCAACCACTGAGCCACACAGGCCAGGCAAGAAAGTCGGTTTTTAGGACTCTTGCTGAAAGTAGAACATTATCCAAGGCAGTTGTTAAAAGCTGTGGTTCTTATGCTGCTAGGATTTCCCCTTTAAATTTCCTGCCTTGAATTCTGATCTCTAGCACCTTTAGCCAGTAACTCTAGTTACTTGTGCACATCCTTGTGCTTTTTTGGTAGCCACAGCCAGAGTTCAGTAGTGCACTTCCTCTGGAAACCACAAATTTGCACTTCTTTTTCCCTTCCATTGGGAGTTTGGGGAATTAACTTCATCAACCTTGCAATGATATTAGCTTACATTTTATGCAACTAAAGTATCTCAACCTTCCTTTTAACATCACAGAAGAAATTTAACCATCTACTTACATATAGAATGATGAATAGAAAGACAATAACATTTTTGAAAGGATATACACAAGAAAGTTAATAGAAGGCTATTTCTGGATGGTGAGATCATACAAGACTTTAATTTCTTTTATTACCTGATTTTTCATTTTTTTCCACAACAAACATGTATTTTTTTTAATGTAAAAGCTTAATGCATGTCATCTAACATAAAGATGTTTCATTAGCAAGGGTGCCTGTGCTCACCTGTCAAAACGTTCCACATAGGGCATTGCAAAGAATCGTTTCCTATTGTACCTTTTATTGAGGTACCAAGGTATAGGCCACTGCTTGAACTTGTGCCTGCCAAGAAAGCAAAAAGGTATCACCCTTATAGAAAACATTTAATACATTTTCAAACAGATACAGTTTTAACTTTCTTTGGACCAAATATGTTGTCAATAAATCAAAAGCAAAATTAAAAACCCTTAAAGAGAATAGCATTCTTAGAGATTCTAAAATTGACACAGATTCTCTCCTTATCCCCACCTTTTCTTAATTGACCTCAACTGGATTAATCCAAATAAGAATTAGTAGAAAATGAAATAGATCAGAGTTTTTAGTCAGATGTTTTAGCAATTTATATCTTTTCTGCACTGGATCACATGGTTCAAGACTGCTTGAATTCTGATCTCTACTTACAGCTACTCTAATTACAGCTACTCCCCTACATGTGGCTCTGAGCGGCCTCATTACCCTAAACTCTATTAAAGAACCCATTAAATGAGTAAACGCTATTAAATGATATAATTTCAAGAGTACAGGGAAGGTCTCCAACCACCCAAAAGTGCCTTCTCCATTTTGCTGACCAATGTTTAAAACTCTATTAATGATGTTTGCTTTTGGCAGCTCAACCTAAATGTAAGTAAACCCCTGGCAGAGAAAGCACACACTGGGTCCTCTCAATTATTTCTATCTCAGTATAAATGTTTGTTATCAGATCTTTTTCCAAGATCTGGTAGGACTTTGGGAACTAGACTTAGGAGATAAGATTAAACTGTTTTGTAACTTGGACTAGGGTTTATCCTGGTTAATGTGGTCTTATTCTTCATAAACTTCTTTTGACCAGTCCCAGGTTCTCAATGGGCAAAGAAGACAGGTGCGTGTCCTAAAATTAGGTTCACTGTATTTATAACCCTCTGAATTACATATACACTTTTCTGGGGAAAGGATCTATAACTATCATCAGCCCTGGCCAGTTTTGCTCAGTGGTTAGAGCATTGGCCCGTGGACCAGAGAGTCCCGGGTTCGGTTCCTGCTAAGGGCACATACCTCGGTTGCAGTTTGTCCCTAGCCCCAGCTGGGGTCATGTGGGTGGCAACCACTCGATGTGTCTCTCTCACATTGATGTTTCTCTCTCTTCCTCCCTCTCTCCCTCCTGGTCTGTTTGAAGATAAATGCAAAAGTGTCCTCTGGTGAGGATTAAAAAAATATATATATAACTATCATCAAATCCTCAAAAGATCATGTGATTCACATAAGATTAAGAACTACTGTTATAAAGTACCTTTAATTCAGATAACTGTATCATGAGAATGGAATGCCTGGACTAGTAGATAAATCTACCTTCATTCATATCCTGGAGTTCCAAAAGAGTTTGGGGACCTCTATTTATATTAGATGTATCTCTAATATATGATACATCTTATACAATGGAAGTCTTCTTAAAAGATACTGGACAAGGAAAAAGGCATGGGACTTCGACTCTCATCTTAGAAAAGCCACAATGTAAACTATGTACCAGATGATTCTTCCAAAGATGTCTTTTCTCCAAGCCCCAGGTCTAGCTTTTTCTTGACCAGTCTGAAGAAGTCTTAGGGCATCTTCTCGTTCCTGGACAACTTTATCTAATGCATCCATGGATTCTATTACCTGAGAAGACAATACAAAGATATAATTCAATTACCTACAACAGAATTCCAAAGAAAGAGAACATATAAAAATTATGCTATAGAAAGCCTATGAATATTTTTGTCAAAGAACCATTCTGTCACATTATCTCCTAAAAATCTTTCTGGCACAGGTACACATGGGTGTCTGTAATATCACCCTTCTGTAATTTTAAAAAAGTTTAGTTTCATTTAAATGAAAAACTATTTAGCTCAGATTTTCTACATGCAAAGAAAATTTCTTCATGTGGAATTAAATAAGAAACATATGACAAATTACCTCTAGAAAAGGAAATAAGGAACCCAAGGTATTTTTTATGACAAAAAGAAAAGCCTATTTTAAAAAATAGTTGACCTTTTCACAACAATATAAATACACTTAACACTATTGAACCTATATACTTAAAAATGATTAAGAGAGTAAATGTTATGTGTTTTTACCACAATAAAAAAGTGCATGAATAAAATTTGACCTAGTAGGCAAGGAAGTGGCTAAGCCAGAACTGGTGCAGACTAAAATGTAGACTGGTGCAGCTACTTTAGAAAACAGTTTGGCTGGTTCCTGATATGTTACACATAGATTTACCATATGATCCAGCAATTTCATTTCAAGGTATGTATCCAAGAGAACTAAAAACATATGTCCACACATATGTTGGGGGTTGCAGGCAGAAATGGGGAGTTACTGTAGATGGGCTTGAGATTCTGTTTTGAGGTGATGGAAATGTTCTAAAATTAGACAGTAGTCATGGTTACACAACTCTGTAAATTTACTAAAAATCAAGCAGAAATAGAAAAAATCTACTTGACAGAAAATATAGAAACCACACACTCATTCCTGTGAACTTTATCCCACAATGTTTTGAACTTTATCCCTCCTCCAGCCCTACCTTTTCTAACCGCTCCGGGCTTGGCATTGGTAATATCTGCCGCTTGGCCTCCTGCTCTAGAGTTAGAAGCATGTTTCTTTCCTTCAGTAGGACATACCTATACAAAAGAACACAAAGCTTATGATGCCATTTTGTGACAACATTAATGAAGTTGTGATTTAAAATTTATTTTATTTTACTGATCTTTGAGAAAGAGAGAGAGAGAGAGAGAAAGAGAGAAACCTCGATAAGCTGCCTCACACATGCACCCCAACGGGGGATTGAACCCGCCACCTGGGTATGTGCCCTGACCAGAAATCAAACCTGCCACCCCTTGGTGTATGGGACGATGCTCCAACCAACCAAGCCACACTGGCCAGGGCTAAAGTTGTGATTTTTGACATCAAAATTAATGATCTGTTCTCAAAAGTCTTTTAGAAATCTCAATACACAGAATATCATTACAAAGAATAATCCTTTAAACAGAGCTATATCTATTCTTATTTATTTGTTCAATAAATTTTCCATGTGCCTCATATTGTATTAAGTGCGAAGAGAGTTACAAAAAATTGTAAAATACAGTCTCTATATTCCAAGTGGAGAGAGAAGATAGAAGATAAATAATACTTATTCAGTGCCTGTTGTATGCTAGGGAATGAGCTAAACACTTAATATAGGTTTCATTTAATTCTTATAACTACCCTTTGATGTTATTAGTATTTCTATTTTCTAAATGAAGAAACTAAGGCTGACAGAAGCAAAATATTCTGGAGCACATAACTAATTCAAGATTCAAATCCTGGACTCCCTGTGTGCAAAATCTACTCTATTTGTACTCCACTAGGCTGCCCGAAACCGCAATGTGATGTGGTGTATTGAGTGGTATAGACAACAAATACCAGAAGAATTAAGTGGGAGAGAGGAGACATTTCTTCTAGCTAAGGTGCTCAAGAAAAGCGTCACAGAGATGGGATCTGACTGGAAAGGAAAGCAGTGGGAAAGCGGAGTGAGGGTAGGTTTTGTGAATAACGGTTTGGTTAAGAATTAGAGCTGAAAAGAAAGGAAAGGAAATAAATGTGGAGGGCACTGAATAGGAGACAAAGGAACTGAGGTACTTTGTGCTATGGAAGAAGATAATTTGGGGGGAAGTGGTGGCAAGACATAGATTGGTTTTTGCCATGATGAAAATATTTTTAGTTTTTTTTTATCCTCATATGAGGATATTTTTCCAGTTTTGTTTTTTTTTTTTAGAGTGGGAAGAAGGGAGAGAGAGAGAGAAACATTGATGTGAGAGAGACACATTGACTGGCTGCCTCCGACAAGACCCCCACCAGGGCTGGGGATCGAATGTGCCCTTGACCAGGAATTGAACCAGGGACTCTTTGGTCCTCAAGCTGACAAACTAACTGCTGAGCCAGACCAGCCAAGGCCAAACATTTTCTTTCTTTCTTTTTTAAAAATTAATTTGAGAAAGAGAGAGAAACATTGATTTGTTGTTCCCCTTATTTATGGATTCTTTGGTTGATTCTTGTATGTGCCCTGGCCGGCGATTGAACCTGCAACCTTAGTGTATCAAGACGTTCTAACCAACTGAGCTACCTGGCCAGGGCTAGCTATGATGAATACTGAAACAGCCCTCACTAACCCTTTTACTAGTAACTCACAGTTACAATGCTTTAGGCACAACTTACACTTCTTATTTTTAATATTACTTATTTTTCTATAATAAATCTGTGCTGTTTTACACCTAACACTTCAGACACCAAATGAAAGATTTCTTTCTCCTCTTGACATCAAATGCATTGTCTTTTCCCACACTTCTCTAACCTCTGACACTAACTACCTGGAGTTAGCACCACATTCCACAGATTTAAGGGTTCAGTCCCACAAGACTGTCCCCCACTTCAGATGCCAACAGCAAATTCCAGGGCTACCATATATCAGACTGACCAGCTATAAAGTGGGCATTCCCATGAACCCCTCCTTGGGTTCAGTATTTAATAGAAAGGCTCACAGACTGGCTTATTACAAAGGATATCACTCAGGAACAGCCAAATGGAAGAGATGCAAGGTGGATGCAAAGGGGTGTGAGCTTCTGTGCCTTCTCAAGGCATGCATCCTCCGGTACCTCCCTGTGTTCAACTTGGACGCTCTCTCCAAACCCAATATTTTAGGGGTTTTTATGGAGATTTCATTATGTGGGCACAACTGATCAAATCACCGACCACTGATGACAACTCAATCTCCGATACCTCTAACCCTCCCCAGAGGTGTGGTGGTGGTGAGCCTGAAAGTCCACCCTTTCATCACACCTTGGTCTTTCCGGTGACCAGCCACCATTCCGAGGCCCCTACCAAGAGTTGCCTAATTTGAACAAAAGACATTCCTACCACTCAGGATATACCAAGGGATTTAGGAGATGTGTGTCAATGAATGAGGACAAAAACCAAATATATATTTCTTACTGTATCACACGATAAACCTATAATATCAGTGGTTCTTATAAGCCTTCTATAATTTAATCTGCCATGAAAGATAAATAACCCTTTAAAGAGAGGCATAAAACTTTAAATGCCCACTACAGTGCTTAGCCAGAGAACAGCTGAGTGAGGTGGGCTTGGTGAAGGAACAGGGTAGGGAGAGCTGTGCACTGCTCCACCCAGACCGAGCAGTGGCTACAGACGAGCAGGTGTCGCCATGCAGGAACGTAGGTCCAGTGCTGCCGGATCAGAGGTCTGATTATTCAAGAGGAGCCAGAAATCTTTATTTTTGTGTGAAATCTATCAATTTAAAAATCATAGTAAAGTCTAAACAAAATATATCTTTGGCAAAATATTGTCAGTTAAGGTAAGGGGTGGGAGGGTGGGCGAAATGTGTGAAGGGGGACAAAAGGTACAAATTTTTAGTTATAAAATGAGTACGTCATGAGTTCATAAAAATCCTGGAAGAAAATGTAGGCAACAAAATTTCAGACATCGTACGCAGCAGAATTTTCACTGATACATCACCTAAGGCAACAGAAACAAAGGAGAAAATGAACACACAGGACTACATCAAACTAAAAAGCTTTTGCACAGCAAAAGAAACCACCAAAATGGAAAGGCAACCCACTTTATGGGAGAGCATAATTGCCAATGATACATCAGTCCAATATACGTAGGGTGCTCATATAGCTCAACAAAAGGAAGACAAAGAACCCAATTAAAAAATGGGCAGAGGAACTAAGTAGACACCTCTCCAAACAGGACATACAAATGGCTAAGAGACATATGAAAAAATGTTCAACATCACTAATCATCAGAGAGATGCAAATTAAAACAACAATGAGGTTATCACCTCACACCTGTCAGAATGGTTGCCATCAACAAATCATCAAACAAGTGTTGGCGAGGTTGTAGAGAAAAGGGGACTCCAGTACACTGCTGGTGGGAATGCAGACTGGTGCAGCCGCTATGGAAAACAATATGGTGTTACCTCAAAAAATTAAAAATGGAACTTCCATTTGACCCAGTGATCCCACTTCTAGGAATATACTTTAAGAAGCCTGAAACACCAATCAGAAAGAATATATGTATCCCCCATGTTCATAGCAGCACTATATACAATAGCTAAGATCTGGAAACAGCCCAAATGTCCATCAGTAGACAAATGGATAAAGAAGCTGTGGTACATATACACAATGGAGTACTATGCAGCTGTAAGAAAGAAAGATCTCTTAACCTTTGAGACGACATGGAGGGACCTGGAGAGTATTATCCTAAGCAAAACAAGCCAAGTGAGAGAAAGACAAATATCACATGATCTCACTTATTTGTGGAATATAATGAACATAACAGTCTGAGGAATGGGGTAGTCCCAGAGACGTGGAAGTGGGGTACAGACTGACAATCCCTAAAGCACAGAATGTATATGCATGTATGCATGAACAATGAACATGGACAACAAAGCTGGGGACAGGGCGGGAGAGGGAGGAAGGGGGGAATCAGTGAGGGGAAAAGAAGAAACATATGTAACAAAAATAAATTAATAAAAAAAAAATAAGTACATCAGCATGGTGACTACAGTTAATAACATTGTACTGCATACTGGAAAGTAGCTGGGAAAGTGGGTCTCAAAAGTTCTCATCACAGGGAAAAAAATTTGTAACTGTGGTGATGGATGTTACCTGGACTTACTGTGATGATTATTTTGCACTATATACAAATACTGAATCATTATATTGTATACCTGAAACTAACATAATGTTATGTCAATTATACCTCAATAAAAAATATATATAGGCCCTGGCCAGTTTGGCTCAGCGGTTAGAGTGTTGGCCCGCGGACCAATGAGTCGTGAGTTTGATTCTGGTCAAGGGCATGTACCTCGGTTACGGTTTGTCCCTGGCTTTGGTCGGGGTCATATGGGAATCAACCAGTCGATGTGTCCCTCTCACATCAATGTTTTTCTCTCTCTCTCCCTCACTCCCTCCCACTCTATCTGAAAATAAATAGAAAAAAATGTGTGTGTATATATACATACCTATATATATATATTTACACACACACACATATATACACACACACACATAAAAAGTCAGTTAAAAATATAACCCTGTCTTAAACCTCTCAACTCTAATTCATCAGGAGAAACTGCCTGAAAATTTACCTAAATTCCCAATTAAATGTACCTTTCAACACACTTCCCCAAGGCAAATAAGCTAAAGATTTCAGACCATGCAAAAGTTAATAAAGAAGAGGAAGGCCTAAATGTGACCAACTCTTCTCCATTTCATGTTGTCAGTTTACTGAAATTGTTAGAATAATGGTGTAGTACAGTATGACGAATAGCAATTACAGTAAAATTTCCAAACCCCCAACTACTTGAGAACTCTGATACATTTGTCTTAATATAATTTAACCTGTCACATCTATAAAATCTGTAATGATCTTGAATGTCATCCACAGTACTGTAGGACAAACTATTACTCAATTTCTTATAGTACATAAAGCTTATACCTAATTTTTATACTGTAACTGCTTCAAACACCTAGATTTTCATGTACTCGGTATACTTACCAAAGTTTATGTAAATCTTCATTACTTTTGTTCCTTAATTGCTGACATGTCCATGAAGCTCCTATTAAAATGATAAATTCATAACATAAAATAATTTTCTAGCTATATGCCCTTTGGCAAATCACTTAACCTCTCTAAACTAGTTTCATCATCTATAAAATACATAACAGCTTTATTATCTTACAGTATAAAATATAATTAGAATTAAATTGGAATTAAATTAGCTAACACATATGAAAATATAAGTAATGAGACTGGCAATAGCATTGGAAAAATGTTAGTATGAGTATAAAATGTATTTTCACAGTCTAAGTTAAGAAAAGCTTTATATCATTATAAATTAATTTTCAATTATTCCTAAAAAATAAAATCCAGGCCCTGGCTGGGTAGCTCAGTTGTTTAGTGTGTCTTCCCAATACGCCAAGGTTGCAGGTTATATCCCTGGTCAGTGCACATAAAAGAATCAACCAATGAATGCCTAAATAAGTGGCAACAAATCAATGTCTGTTTCTCTCTCCCCTCTTCCTCTCTCTAGAAATCAATAAATTTAAAATTTTAAAACAAACCTCAAACATCAATTTAGTAAAAAATTTCAGCCTACTTCTCTTCTAAACCTTTTGCCAAGCTCCCAAGGAACAATTAACTCTATCATATTGTTTTTTTAATTTTCACTAATAGACATTCCCAAAGGAAATTTAAAAAAAAAGGAAACAATTAATTCCTAAACTGAATAAATAATCCCCCCAAAATGGATGGTTTAAAATACGTATTTAATACCAATCAACACAAATATCTCACCAGATTTCACTTTTTCTTCTCCCCAATTCTTTGGGTCATCAAAAAATTCTTCCAGTCCTTTCCTTGACAATGTGGTATGAAGTATTCTACAATGGTGTAAAGATGAGATACCTGGCGTATTCTTAGACAACAGATTAAGAGAAAACCTGCAACTGAACATATATAAACGATTTATTAAAGTTTTACAACATTTGAATTTTATAAGAAATAAACAGAATTTCCTCATCTACAGTGTTAAAAAACTGACTTGTCGTTTCTGCACAAGAAACAAGAAACTATTGTTTTAAATATTGCATTGTAGATGTTGCTACCTTATAATTTCAGAGTTAATATATTTACATAATTATATATATTTTAGTATGTTTTTATTGTTTTTTTAGAGAGGAAGGGAGAGAGAGAAACATCAGTATGAGAGATAAACATCCATCTGTTGCCTCCTGCATGCCCCCTACAGGGGATCAAGCTGGCAACCCAGGCATGTACCCTGATCAGGAATTGAACTGGAACCTCTCAGTCCATGGGATGACATGTGCAACCATGAATGGTTTAAAAAATTGTATGTCCATGTGATGATCTATTATGCAGTAGTTTAAAATTCATGTTTTAAAAGAACATTTAATGACCTAGGTAAATATTTAAAATACAATAGTGAAGTGTATCACAAGTGTTGCATGACTACCAAAAAATTTAACCTGAATCATGAGGAAATAATCAGACACACCCGAATGAAGGGATATTCTAAAAAGACTGATCTTATAAAATACGTCAGTGTCATGAAAGAAAGAAAAAAAAGGAACAATTCTGGACTTTAAGACTAAAGAGACATGACAACTGCCCTGGCCGGTTTGGCTCAGCGGTTAGAGCGTCGGCCTGCGGTCCTGAGAGACCCGGGTTCAGTTCCCGCTAAGGGCGCGTACCTCGGTTGCAGTTTGTCCCCGGACCTGGTCGGTTGTGCGGGTGGCAGCCACTCGATGTGTTCCTTTCGCATCGATGTTTCTCTCTCTCTCTCTGTTTCTCTCTCTCCTTCCCACTCTACCTGAACAAAAAATGGAAAAATGTCCTCGGGTGAAGATAAAAAAAAAAAAAAAAAGAGACATGACAACTAATGCAAAAAAAAAAAAAAATCGTTGTTTGGATCCTGAATAAAAATTAAGAAAGAAAGAAAAAAAAACAAACTACCAGAACAATTGTGGACATTTGAATTTGGGCTATATGCTAGATAATAGCAGTGAAATAATAGTAGGGTATCAATATTAAGTTCCCCAGTGTGATCACTGGAGTACTTTGGTTAAGACACTGTTCTTTTCTAGGAGACATACGCTAAAGTGTCATAATGTTTGCAATCCTGACATGCCTCAAATAGTCCAGGGGGAAAAAAGGTATGGATATAAAGAGATAAAGAAAAATATGCCCTGGCCAGTTTGGCTCAGTTGTTAGAGCATAAGCCCGTGGACTGAAGGGTCTCTGGTTCAATTCCTGGTCAAGGGTGTGAACCTGGGTTGCAGTTTGATCCCTGGCCCAGGTCCTGGTCCAGTCCAATTGATATGGATATGTCTCTTTCACATCAGTGTCTCTCTCTCCCTGCCTTCCTCTCACTCTACCTAAAAAAAAATCAATGGAAAAACATCTTCAAGCAAGGATTAACAACAAAAAAAAATGTAACAAAATGCTAAGGCTTGATGAATAGAGACAATGAGTATATGGTTATTCTTGGTACTACTCTTACAATTTTTCCATTGGTCTGAAATTTTAAAAAAATAAAAAGTTGCAGAAACAAAGGTAGAGCACAAGAATACATATATTAAATGTAGTCCTGATTTTATTTTAAAATTACATGTATATGCATATATACAAAGTTAAAAAAGGAAGGAAATCTGTTTATCTCTGAGTGGTACAATTATAGTTAATTTTTACTTTCTTCTTCAAAATACTTTACCCTATTTTCCAAAGTGTCTGCAGATGAACATATTTTATTATAATAACAACAAACTCAAATTAATTTTTAAGGTAAAAGGATAACTAGAGATGGAAGAGACAATTGATTCAAGTTTGCCATCTTGATCAAGTTATAACCTGAATCTCTGCAAAATGGAAAAAAAAATTGCTTATCTTGGAAGTTAGTGTATGCAATAATACTGTAATAATAGATGCTCAATAATTGTGCTGCATTCAAGAGCACATAGGAAAAAAAAGCATTGAACATACCCCACTATTTATAAAATTCAAATTCTAGACAAAGCCAATAAAAGGGAGGAAACACACCCTAAAGTCAAAAATGGTTGGTCTGACCAGAAGACAAGCTGACTTGCCAGAAATAATGAACACCAGATGTAGGATGTTCCTTTCTCCCACCTGCAAGGACAACTTTTTGTTTATCTAGGTCCTTTCATTTATTCACTCAGCATTTACTGAACAATCCCTTTGTGACATATTCCAGAAGTAGAAAGGCCCCTTCTTTTTAATCCGTCCAAGCCTGGCACACTCTTCAGTTCCATAGCCAAAAGCAGTGAAGTTCTTCCCAATTCCCCCCCCCCAGCCAAACGGGATACTTCTACACCTCTGGCTTGAATTCAACAAATACTGGGCATCTGCAGACGCCGTGTTCTGCTTAGTCCTCAGTAGCTGGCAACAAAATGAGGCAGAAACAGAAATGTCGTCAGTGGGTGACTTGTACAAACTCACTCATTCCTCCCAGAGTTGGGTTCGGGCTCAAGCCAACCCCGCGGCCTTTCCATTCCTGAGCTGTTTTCAGCATCTCTGCAACCAAACAAAATTCAAAGTTGCATAAGCGCGCAAACCTACTCCTCGCAACACTTACCCTGTGCCAGCAGGGGCCTGAGGACCTATTAACGACCTGGAAGTCTTCAGGACAGCTGACACTTTTCTGCAAAGAATGGATAAACTGGCAGCAGCCATTTTTTCGCGTAAGCAAAGTGCGTTTTCACCAATAATGGCGTCACTTCCGGTGCCTCGCTCCGACCGGAAAGAGAGCTGAAACGGCTTCTGCCCTCACTCGACATGGCCGTCTTCCGCCTTTGCCCTCGAAGGTGAATTGGCCCTCTCGGCTCCCGTTACTCTCCCCGGGGCTTCTTATTGCCCGGAGTAGGCATGGCGGCTATGAGCTTGCTGCAGCGGGCTTCGGTCACCGCGGTGGCCGCTCTGTCTGGCCGCCGCCTGGGCACTCGGCTTGGACTCGGGGGCTTTCTCTCGCGTGGCTTTCCGAAACCTCTAGGTGGGTGCTGACTTTGGGAGAAAGCGCTCTCAGGGGAAGCGGGGTGAGAGCTAGAGGATTCTTCCAGGGTGACCTTGGTGGGACCTGGAGGGAGCCGGCAGAAATTGCGGGCTTGGGTTTGAGAGCTGTGTGAGGAGCTTGAGGGTTTTCTTGAAGCAGTCCGATTGATCGCCTTTAAATGAATAATTAGCATTTGTGAAACACTTTACCATTCAGCCTTCCCAGTTGGTGTTAATTTGGGGATGAAGCTGAGGTCGGAAAGGACCGATACCCATTGTCTCTCGGGCACCAGCTGTTAGTACTTCCCGCTGAACTAGGTGCTGATCCCACTTTGCGGGAAGTTACGTTGCTGATGCTCACATTTGTGTAGACAGGCGGAGAGTGCACGGTAAGGCATTATGCATAGGGACTTGCTGGAAACGATGGAAAGTATTCAGCAAATTTCCAGCAGGAATTGACCTGTTACAAACGACTTGGCTAACATTCCTCGATAACAACCTTTGCAAGCCTTTAAAAAAAAAAGCAAATATTCTCCTTTTTAAATGCTTGGTGGATGGTATTTTATTATGCCTGGATAATAAACTGCGATAAATATTCCTGCCCTTATGCGCTGTTCTCCACTCTTGGAGTTCTGGAAGGATCGTTACAGGTAATCTGTGCCCTTTCCACTGGGAGCAGGAAGGGGTCTAATAGCGGTACTGGGGGTTACTGTTTCAGCTGTGTACCTGCTTTCGAAGGTATTTTGCATGTGAAGCCTTAACCTGTCACTGTGCAATGAAAGGTTTTAATCTGTTATATTATTGCTTATGTCTGCCCCTAATGTGCGTTCTAGCAGGGTAGAGAACCTTGTCTTGTTTCGTTGCCTCTGGAGTTAGATGGCCTAGGTTTCAAATCCTGGCTCCACAGTTTAGTAGCTGTGACCTTGGGTCATCACATCTTGGAAATTAACTGGAAGGCACTTAATCTATGGAAACCTGTATTTTTTCATCTCTAATAACGAGGACATTTATTACAAGTGTGCTTGTTTTGTTGACCTGACAGGGAAATAAAATTCAACTAATATTTTTCTGATTGACAAGTGTTTAGAACCCTGAACTGTATTTCTGCAGAGTTTCGTGTATTTCTAGAAATGTCATTTTGAAATGAGTTTGTTTCTTACCATGAGAACTGTAAAAAAAGAGAGATAATGATAATTTTAACCTATCTTATAAGATAGTTGTTTAGAGTGAATGGGAAAAATCTACAGCACCTAGCACTAGCCTTTTACCCTGTGGCTACATCTTTCTTAAACAGCTAGTATTGTCATGTTATCTTTATTTACCCTCAGTAAAAACCTTTCTCAGAAAACAAGCAGATTAATGTATTTTCTCTATTTAATTAAATTATTTATTAAATGTCAAATAGCAGGGGATTCAAGAAATGAGCTAAAGTTCTCCCCTTAGCTGCAGTGAACTTTAATGTTGAAGACTGATGTGCACATTTTTTTTCTTTTTTAGTTCTTTTTATTATTATTATTATTATTATTATTATTATTTTATCCTCACCTGAGGACATTTTTTTGTGCAGACAGAGTGGGAGGGAGAGCGAGAGAGAGAGAAAGAGAGAAACAATGACGTGAAAGGGACACATCGAGTGGCTGCCACCCACACGACCCAACCAGAGCAAGGGACAAACTGCAACCGAGGTACGCGCCCTTTGCGGGAACCGAACCCGGGTCTCTCTGGACCGCAGGCCAACACTCTAACTGCTGAGCCAAACCGGCCAGGACTTTATTTTATTTTTTTAGTGTGCATATTTTGGTTTTACAAAACTGAGAACAATATTAAAATTATTATATAATAAAGACATGTGGAGTTTATTCAGACATGGAAGATGGGGCATTTTAACTGGATTCTAGGGTAGTTTGAACAGGTACAAATACAGGCAGAAAAGTGTTTTCTGATATATCTGAATATGGGGCTCTTGGTATATGTAGCTGTTGAGCAAGAAGGCTAAAAAAAAAGGGGAAATTGGAGAATAGTTACAGAAATATGTATTATAGCATAGGGAATAGAGTCAATAATATCGTAATACCTATATATGGGGCCAAGTAGGTGCCTGAAGCATAGTGGGGAACACTCTGTAAAGTACATGATTTTCTGACCACTGTGCTGTACATCTGAAACTAATGTGAAATGATATTGGATATAGACTGTAATTGAAAAAGAAAAATAAATTTATAAAAATAAGGAAGTTGGGACCAAACTGGTGAGGGGAGGGAATGAATATAAACCAAAGTATATTAACTATTTTGTAGGCAGCAGAGAGTGTTTTAGCAAGAAAGCAACACTGGTAGTGTAAGAAGATGCTTCTGAATATTGGATGGCTTCCAGGGAATGTTCATTACCTAAACCATTGAGATAAAGAGAACGTAGAAAGAAGTGGAAAGAAATGGAAATTTTGAGTCTTAAAATCAAGAGGCCTTGACAACTGATGAATGAGGTTTTAGATACAAGGAAGACGACTGAGATTTTTAGCCTGTCTAATTGAGTTGGTGGTGCCATTAACTGAGAATAGTCTGAGAATGAGGGAAAGAAAATGACCAATTTTTAACTGTTGTTTTGGAAACACATGCACAAAATCATACAGTATCTTATTTGATCTCACAAAGACCACAGATGTCAAAACATAACTTTCCCGAGGTTTTGCATTTTAAAAAATTGCTTTTGAAACCTAGTTGCACATAGTTAATGAATACTTGTAAAATTTCAGACTTTACAAAATAGTGGAAGATACCTATTTTCATGGCAGGAGGGTCTGAGTTGCACAAATCCTGGCAGTCACCTGTGTGTAAGTAATGTTCACCCTAATATTTTTATTTTTATTTTATAAAGATTTTTAAAGTTGATTTTTGGAGAGAGGTAGGGAGGGAGAGAGAGAGAGAGGGAAACATCCTTGTGAGAGCAAAACATCAATCAGCTGTCTCCTGCATGCCCCCTATTGGTATCGGAGCCTGAAACCCAAGCATGTGCCCTGACCAGGAATTGAGCTGGCAACCTTTTGACCCAACAAACTGAGCCACACTGGCCAGGGCTACCCTCATATTTTTAGATTTTAAGCACATGGCCCTAATACATAAACAAGTATGAAGGCTCAGAATATTTGGAAAGAGTTTAGTGCTATGAAATATACTTTAGAACAGCTAATGGTACTGAGTTTTCTAGCACATTTAATGTCATGAATAATTGTTGTTAAAGCAAGCAGTTCACATTAATAACTGCATTAATATTGCTAGAATGCACCTAGACTAGTCTTCCATAGTTTTTTGTTTGTTACATTTTCCGTATCTATTGGTAGTGTCATTTGTAATCAGTTGTCCCTGAAACAACATCAAGTTAGTTTTTGTGTCTTTCTCTCTGTGTGTTTGTCTGATTGAAGGGGAAAGTTGGAAGTATACTGTCTCTTCTGAGTAGCTTTACTTTCAGGGACAAAGGAAGAATCCCTTACCGACATTTAATTTACATAATAAATGTAAATACAACAATATTTATAGAGCATCTACCATGTGGCAGACACTAAAGAGTACTGGAGATAACAGTATTAAATAAGACAGTCCCTGACCTGATGGACTTTAACAAAATAATTGAGCTCAGTGTTCTAAAAGAAACTATTGTCTATGTCCATTGGTTATGCATATATGCATATAAGTTTTTTGGTTTATCTCTTCCCACCCCTCCACCCTTCCCTCTGAGGTTCATTAGTCTAACAACCAATTTGTACTTCTTAATCCCTTACCTTTTTTACCCATCCCCCAAGCCCCCTCCCATCTGGCATCCAACAAAAAGTTCTCTGTATCTATGAGTCTGTTTCTGTCCTGCTTGTACATTTTGTTTGAAGATTCAATTGTTGATAGATATATATTTATTGCCATTTTATTGTTCATATTTTGTTGTTGTTGTTGTCGTGTTGCTGCTGCTGCTGCTGCTCCTCCTCCTCCTCCCCCCTTTCCTTCCCCTCCTCCCTTCAACATTTCATATAATACTGATTTGGTGGTAAAGAACTCCTTTAGCTTTTCCTTGTCTGGGAAACTCTTTATAGGCCCATTGATTCTAAATAATTGCTTTGCAGGATAGAGTAATCTTGGTTGTAGGTCCTTGCTTTTCATCACTTTGAATATTTCTTGCCACTCCCTTCTGGCCTGCAAAGTTTCTTTTGAGAAATTGGCTGACAGTCTTATGGGAGCTCCTTTGTAGGCAATTAACTGCTTTTCAGATTCTCTCTTTGTCTTGAACCTTTTGCATTTTGATGATGATGTGTCTTGGTGTGGGCCTCTTTGGGTTCATCTTGTTTGGGACTCTCTGTGCTTCCTGGACTTGTATGTATGTTTCTTTCACCAAGTTATGGAAGTTTTCTGTCATTATTTTTTCAAATAAGTTTTCAATTTCTTGCTCTCTCCTTCTGGCACCTCCACGTTGCAAATGTTGGTATACTTGAAGTTGTCCTGGAGGCTCCTTACACTATCCTCATTTTTTTTATTCTTTTTTACTTTTTGCTGTTCTGATTGGGTGTATTTTGCTTTCTTATATTCCAAATCGATGGTTTGCTTCTTGGCTTCACCTACTCTACTATTGATTCCCTATAAATTATTCTTTATTTCAGTTAGTGCATCCTTCATTTCTGACTGGTCCTTTTCTATGTTGTGATCTTCTCACTAAGTTCCTTGAAGTTATCAGTAAGTTTTTTGAAGTTTTCACTACGTTCATTAAGCACCCTTATAACCCATGTTTTGAACTCTGCCACTGTTAGGTTGCTTATCCATTTTGTTTAGTTCTTTTCCTGGAGTTTTGTTCTGTTCTTTCATTTGGTACGTTTCTTTGTCTCATTTTGGCTGCCTCCCTGTATTTGTTTCTTTGTATTAGGTAGAGTTACTATGTCTCCTAGGCTTTATAGGGTGTCTATTGTAGTAGGTGTCCTGTGGGGTCCATTGGGGTCCTGATCACTCTAGCTGGGCCCTCAAGTTGCACCCCTCATGTGGACTGTCCACCCTTCTGTAGTAATTGAGTCTTGATTGCTGTTGGCACATCAGTGGGAGGGATTTACTCAAGCTGATCGGCCACAAGGACTGTCTATCCCACTGGCCATGACCTCTGACTACCTTGGAGGATCAGCTGTGCAGGGAACTGCCACACTGAGCAAGATTTACTTCAGCAGGGCTCTGGTACCCACTGAGTCCACTCATTGAGTGTGTCACTTGTGGAGGTGGTTGGGTGGTGCTTCATTGTGGTCTGAGGCTGTCCACTGGGTGTGCTTGATCTGGGGGCAAGGCTAGCCACTGCCTGTTCTACCCGGGGCCACCAGGCATAAGCTACAAAGTGATCTACAGATGGCTGCTTCTTGTGCTGGGCTTAGAGGTGCCTAGGCAAAGCCAAGCTGTGAACCAAGGCTGGCTGCTTCTAGTGCCAGGCCTGGGGCCACTTAGCAAGAGGTATGGGGCTTTGCTCGCTGAGGCCATTGGTTGCTTGTTTGAGAGAATTTAGGAAAATCTGAAGCAGGAGACAAAACCGACCAATTCTATAGTAAAGCAATTGGAAACAGCTTGGGTGGGCCCAAAAGTTGGGTGGGGCAGGGCCTCAGGTAATTACTAGGGTGGGGCAAACAGTGTGAGCCAGGTTGCTGGAGACCCAGATATGGCAGCCCTCTGCCTGCCCTGTGGGGAAAGGCTCACCAAAGGAACACCAGCCTCCGCCAGCACAGCTGTCTGGGAGAAAGCTGTCTCTCCAGACTCCGCCCCGATGCTAAACAACTCAGTTCTTCCCCATATGTTTCTGGTGCCTTTCAAGCTGCCTCTCCTCGGTGCTGGAGCTCAGAGGGAACAAGTCTGAGTAAGTCCATGCCTGGGTCCTTTAAGAGGAGCTGCCTGGGGCTCCAGCAGCCTCAACCTCCCTGAGCCTCAGTTCCCGCTGGTTTTGCAGCCAGAAGTGATGGGGACTTCTCTTCCTGGCCCTGGAACCCTAAGCTGGGGCGCCTGGTGTGGGAAGAAAATGCCTTACTCCTCAGGGAGGACCTTCACAGCTGAGGTGTTCCTCCTGATTTTTATCTGCCCCTCCTACCAGTCTCGATGTGGCCTCTTCTTTAACTCCCTAGTTGTAGGACTTCCATTCAGCTTGATATCAGGCGGTTCTGAATGATGGTTGTTCTGTAGTTTAGTTGTAATTTTGATGTGGTTGTGGGAGGAGGCGATACCGCATCTACCTATGCTGCCATCTTGACTGGAAGTCTCTCACCTTGATATTTTAAAAGCCTTAGTATTATGAATTGTACTTAGTAAATTCATGCCAGCTTCTAATTCTTTTGTGAATTAATCTCCTAAATTCATTGCAAGCTGCTGCAGGTGATACCAAAATCAAGAGAACAGTTTCTGCCTTCAAGACATGTCATTGGGGGTGCGAAAGCAATTACACACTTCCCTAGAATATACAGTAATTCAGAGGTAAGGGAGGTCTTTTCTGGTTGGAAAGAATGTTGATTTCTTGGAGGATAATATGTCATCTGGGCCTAAAGGAGATATTTCAGTAAAGGGGAGGGCATTCCAGGCACTGAAGCTTGAACAACAGATACAGAATGCAGTTACCAACTGAAGCAGAGTAACCTGGGTTCTCAGTAACAGAGCCTTTCCTGCTTCCGGAAGAAAGGCTTAGAGCGTCTGTGTGATCTTTCCAGACTTCCAAGGAAGGAAATGGTATAGAAAGAAGATCCAGGAATGAAATTTGGCCTCACTTTTCTCCAGCAATTTTTTTTTAATCCTCACCTGAGGATATTTTTCTATTTATCTTCAGATAGAGTGGGAGGGAGGCAGAGAGAGGGAGAGAGAAACAAACATCAATGTGAGAGGGACTTTTTTTTTTTTTTTTATCCTCACCCGAGGACATTTTTTGTTCAGGTAGAGTGGGAGGGAGAGAGAGGAAGAGAGAGAGAGAGAGAGAGAAACATTGACGTGAAAGGGACACATCGAGTGGCTGCCACCCGCACGACCGACCAGGGCCGGGGACAAACTGCAACCAAGGTACATGCCCTTAGCGGGAACCGAACCCGGGTCTCTCGGGACCGCAGGCTGATGCTCTAACCGCTGAGCCAAGCCGGCCAGGGCAAGAGGGACATTTTGACTGGTTGCCTCCCACATGACCCTGACCAAGGCTTGGGACGAACTGCAACCGAAGTACGTGCCCTTGACCGGAATTGAACTCGTGACTCATTGGTCCGCAGGCCGATGCTCTAACCACTAAACCAAATAGGCCAGGGCTCCAGCAATTTTTGATTAAATACCATCTTGGGAGGATTTGAAGAGGAGGATGTTGGTAATGAGAAATGGCTTACAAAGGGATTTTATCAAGATATGTAGAGTGTTTACTTTTGTAACAAGGTCAAATTCCTGCTGGATATATGTTGAATGAATATCTTTTCATCTATTTTGTAGCAAGTTCTAGTTTTATTGCCTCATGGAATGGCATAATTTAAATTTATTTCTTTTGCAGCATTAGCAGATATTTATTGCAGAGGGTGAATAAACAAAGTAGCCCACCAAGAGTAGCTGACCTTCCTGTCTGCTAATGAAACAAATTCAAACAATTGTTTATATATTTCTTTAACATTGAATGAAAATGAAGAAAGCTACAGTTTAGAATGCTATGTCAATCTCTGTTTAAAGATGCCCTACCTGTCCTGCTCTAAATACTTAAAGAACATGCACTTTTTACTTTAATTCATATTAAACATCTATGCATGTACATTTTCTTATAATCTGAATTTATCTCAGGAAATAATATACTAATATGAAGCTACTATAAAACATGCTAATTTAATATTTCCAGCTCCTGTGAGACACAGTGGAGACCATGGGAAAAGACTGTTTGTTGTCAAACCTTCTGGATTCTATGACAGGCGTTTTTTGAATTTACTGGTGAGTTACAATTTTTGTTGAACTGACCTCTTTTCATGTAGATAGGAAGAACATTTTGGCCTATTTAGAAAACATCTTTTATTTTGTAAAATATTTTATTTTGTAAATTCATGTTTTGTTCTCAAAAGATACTGAGATGGGTAGTAAGGTCTGATTTGTTAATTTCTTTTTAAGTTAGTTAACCTTTTTTTCTTCAAAAAAGATTTATGCTTATTGGAAGTAAAAATTGAGCCATTCCTTTCTTCTCAAGATTATGGGGTTTTGAAAAATAATCTGTTCTCTGACAAAGATAAATCTATAAATTATAAAATTTTGAAAATAGATTTATTTGGGGATAATTATTTATATTACTGAAATATTCTTTAAATTACCAAAGAACTAATTGAAGTATTTCTTTACATAAGGAACTCCATTATTATGAGATATGACTTTATTTCTATATTGTTTAGGAACATTGATTCAGAGAGTGAAACAGAGTACTGACTGTACATTTTTAACTCAAGGGTCCATAATGGAAAGTAGGGATGTAGAAGATGGAAGGTTATCTGGACTTCTTGCCACTGTTTTTAAAGCCGTGGTCCACCATTGAAGCACGGGCTGCCCCCAGACCTTCTCTTGCTCTGTCATCGTGCTTAATGCCCCTCTCCACCCCTTGGTTGAGCTCCCACTATTCTTGTCAAGGCCAACTCAGACTTTATACTGTGGCTGAAATCACCCTGATGTTTTTACACTCCTTTCTTATTGAATTTATTGGGTTGACATTGGTTAATAAAATTATATAGGTTTCTGGTGTAAAATTTGATGCGTACTTTTCTTCTTAATACAAAAATTTCTAAATTTCATTACATTTTTTTAACCAAAAAATGAAAAATCACTTAAATATACTTTGTATTATACAATTAATCCTTTTTTCTTTCATTTTTGGTGTTAAATTTAGGCATCTAAAAACTAGAACAAAAGAAAATCACAGAAACAAATAACTTGATACTGCATCTCCAATTTGGCAAGTTTATCTTACAAGAAATATGGAAATCATGTAATAAGGACAATTTAAGGGTGGGGAAAGAGAGTTAGAAATGGTTGTGTGAAAACTTTTTTTTTTTTAATCTTAACAGAAATTCTACATTTTATTGACTGGGATTCCAGTAGCAATTGGCATAACTTTAGTGAATGTGTTCATTGGTAAGTCCCTCCTTCCTGAAGAATTTGATTTAAAAAATGATGAATTTTAAAAACCTGTATACATTTTTAAAAAAGAGAAATTATGGATAAGGGAAGGCTCTTTAAGTAATAAAGTAATCGTAAGCATTGAAATTTATTTTAAAATAATTAAATCTTAATCTGCAATAAGTGTACAATGATTTTTATTTATTTTTAAACATCTTGGTTTTCTTCCAAAAGCTTTAGGTCATCCATTCTGTAGTGGTTACATAAAAGGCTTCAGAAAGCCTTGTCTTCCTCCTCATTTCCCAAATCCAGCTTTGATAAGACAGAATAAGAAAAACAGAAAGAGATACATGAACGAGAGGCTGAGGGATGACAGAATGTTTTTATCCATCTTAGAACACATAAAATTATAATCTAAAAAGGAATGGAATTGTGTCAGTAAACGTTAGATTTTTATGGGAAATTCTTCTCAAAGGACTTCTTGAATTCTAAAATGTTTTATCTAGTTGGTATTGGGAAAACCAAAAGGAATAATGTCTTTTATTATATCTTGGTATACTGTATAAACACAAAACAGGAAAATTTCATATAATCCTACAGATAATGCCTTACATATAAAAGACATCTAAAAAATATCTAATGAATCACAACCAGATTGAAGTGAATTTAAAATATTAGCTATCTTCATTGATACAAATCAAAGGTCACTTTAAAACCTCAAGAGGTTGGTTTCTTACTTAAATAGTGTAGACTTGATATTTTACACTCCTGATGCTGAAGTTGAAAATCACTATTTTCTCTTATTAGGTGAAGCAGAGTTAGCAGAAATTCCAGAAGGCTATATCCCAGAACACTGGGAATATTACAAGGTTAGTATAGTCACCAAAAGTTACTTTCTCTTGGGTATCTTGTTAATGCACTGGTTAGTCTTAATTCAGCAATTAAGATAGAGTTTTATATTCAGTTTTTGATATCAAGTAAATAAGTACATTTTGTGCTCTTTTTTTTTTTTTATCCTCACCCGAGGACATTTTTTTTTTTATATCCTTACCCGAGGACATTTTTCCATTTTTTTTTTGTTCAGATAGAGCGGGAGGGAGAGAGAGGAAGAGAGAGAGAGAGAAACATCGATGTGAAGGGACACATCGAGTGGCTGCCACCCGCACGACCAACCAGGGCTGGGGACAAACTGCAACCGAGGCACGCGCCCTTAGCGGGAACCGAACCCGGGTCTCTGTACCACAGGCCGACGCTCCAACCGCTGAGCCAAACCGGCCAGGGCCCGAGGACATTATTTTGCATTTACCTTCAGATAGAGCAGGAGGGAGAGAAGGAGGAAGAGAGAGAGAGAGAAGCATCAACATGAGACAGACACATCAATTAGTTGCCTCCCGCACGACCCTAACCGGGGCCAGAGACTAACTGCAACCGAGGCATGTACCCTTCAGCGGGAACTGAACCTGGGACTCTCTGATCTGCGGGCCGATGCTCTAACCGCTGAGCCAAACGGCCAGGGCTGTGCTCTCTTTTTACAAGAGATTCTTTTGGTAATTTTCTGCATTGTTTTATTATTTTAGACTTTATGGGTTTTTAAAGGATGATTGCAGTATGTTCTCAAACTAGCAGAATAACAGTCACACTTTATTCCAAGTTCAATGCCATAGAAAAGATTTTATCATACTAGTGCTAGCTGTCATTTATTGGGCACCTACTACGTGGCAGGCACTGTGGTGTTTTGCATGTATCTCACTCCATGTAAAAGGTACTATAATATTCCCATTTTAGAGATGAGGAAATTGGAGGCTTAAAAGAAATTAAGTGACCTATACAAGACATAGGGCCAGTATTTGAACCCAGGTAGTCTTGACTCCAGAGCCTGCACTATTAATTAGTCATTTTACCACTGACTGCTCCTAAAACCCAGAATTAATTCTGTTACTTGTCTTCACAAGTGTTGTAGTGAGTGGCCTTATTAGAGTCTATCCTATCATGTTTTATTATCTGAGTGAATTCTATTTTAGGGAAGAAGTACTTCATTATTAAATCTTAAGATAAGCCCTGGCCGGTTTTGCTCCGTGGTTAGAGCGTCGGCCTGCGGTCCAGAGACCCAGGTTCGGTTCCTGTTAAGGGCACCTACCTCAGTTGCAGTTTGTCCCCGGCCCTGGTTAGGTTGTGTGGGTGGCAACCACTCAATGTGTCCCTTTTACGTCAATGTTTCTCTCTCTCTCTCTCTTTCTCTCTCTCTCTCTCTTTCTCTCTCTCTCTCTCTTCCCCTCCCACTCTGTCTGAACAAAATATCGAAAAATGTCCTTGGGTGAGGATAAAAAAAAAAATCTTAAGATAAGCCATACAATTAGTTGATCTTTCCCACCTGGTAGAAAGAGCTGCATTTTTTGGATCACCAAATTCTGTGTTTGGCTCCTAAATCTGCCACTGTAGATACTCAGCACAGGTTTTGGAGTTAGACAGGCCTGGTTTGAGTTCAGATTCTGCCCCTTAGTAACTATATAACTCTGTGCAATTTGCTTATCAATAAAATGGGAACAAAAATAGTATCCACCTAAGGGATAAATTAGTTGGCACATAGTGTTATTGGTTTATCTGAGATTATCATTGTAAAGAATAGTAAGCTGGAAAAGCAAAATACTGTTCAGAAACTAATTTTACACAAATTTTCTCTTGTAGCATCCTATATCAAGATGGATTGCCCGAACTTTCTACGATAGTCCTGAAAAGAATTATGAACGAACAATGGCCATCCTTCAAATTGAAGCTGAAAAGGCTGAATTACGGTAAAAAAAAGGGTTGGGGTGGGGTGGGTTGAGGGGGGGGGGTGAAAAGTCAAACCATAAGAAAAATTTTAATAAAACTATCAGTGCTGTACGCTTCTCTATGTAAAATAATGAAGATGGGTGAGAATTAGCCTGTTTAAAGTGGAGACTAGGGAATAATTAGGAGATAATATCTGTCAGATTAAAAGGAATTCTTTTTAAAAATACTCCTTTTTTTAAAAAAATTTTTTCCTTTATTGATTTTTTAGAGAGAGAGGAAGGGAGAGGGAGAGAGAGATAGAAACATTGATGAGAGAGAACATCGATTGGCTGCCTCCTGCATGCCCCACATTGGGGATCAGGCCCACAACCTGGGCATGTGCCCCGACCAGGAATCAAACCTGTGACCTCTTGGTGCATGGGTCGACACTCAATCACTGAGCCACACTGGCTGGGCAAATACTGTACTCTTTTAAGAGTCTTTTCCTCCCACCTCCCATCTCCCAATTTCTTTTCTTCCTGACACTCAGTCTATTCTTAGAAGTGACCAATATTTAAGGATTTTCTGTATATGTTCCTAGAAAAAAATTATGCATTAAAAAATACATTTTATGTATTATTTAAATATATATTAACACAATGAAATTCTCTTTTAAACACCTTTCTGCACCTTGTCTTCATTTCACTTAAAGATATATTGCTGATCTTTCTGTAATAGTATATACCTCATTCTTTTTTTTTTTTAATCCTCACCCAAGACATTTTTCCATTTTTTATTCAGTCAGAGAAGGAGGGAGAGAGAGGGAGGGAGGGAGAGAAAGGGAGGGAGGGAGGGAGGGAGGGAGAGAGAGAGAGAGGAGAGCGAAACATTGACGTGAAAGGGACACATCGAGTGGCTGCCTCCAACATGGCCCTGACCCAACCAGGGCCAGGGACAAACTGCAACCGAGGTACATGCCCTTGGCAGGAACCAAACCCGGGTCTCTCTGGACTGCAGGCCGACGCTTTAACCGCTGAGCCAAACCGGCCAGGGCAATTTATTTTTTTTTCTTTACTGATTTTAGAGAGCGAGGAAGGAGAGGGAGGGAGACATAGAAACATTGATGAGAGAGAACATCGATTGGCTGCCTCCTGCATGCCCCCCACTGGGGATCTGGTCCACAACTTGGGTTTGTGCCCTGACCGGGAATCGAACTGGTGACCTCTTGGTGCATGGGTCAGTGCTTAACCACTTAGCCACACCAGCTGGGCTATATAACAAAGTGAATTATTTAAATGTGATAAATATCTAGTCATATAAAAAAGTTTACATGTAGTCTATAAAAATGTAAAGGAAAAGGTTTGATGGAGAGGGACTATTTCGGGAATGTGTGATAGTTTGGACAAAGGCTGGGCTGTGAAAGGGGAAAGTATCTTTGTAGAATAGAGATTATTCAGTTGTGAAGAAGGATGGGAACAAGTAAGTAGGTCTTGCAGTTGGAGAATGTTTTTCCTAATCATGATTTTTCTTTCTTCTTTTCCTTATAATTATCAATTGTCTGATGTTGACCAGGCTCAGTGTGAGACTGGTGGCTGGTGAATAAGATATCATTTTTGCTCTCTGGAGGTTTTCTGTCCTAATGGTGATGGACAGACAGTATAAACAAGTGGGTGTGAGCTCCTCCAAGAAGGCATCTTCGTTTTTTTAATTTCTAGCACTTGGCACAGCATACGGCCATAATAGGAGGCATTAAAGAAATACATTGCCACTATTCAAATGAAAATGCTCTGTCCAGACAAAGAGCAGGGACAGAAGGAGAGAACCGATTACCAGTTCAAGTAATATTTTGATGATTAAAAACAATATTTTTGGGGTAACTAAAAGCAAAATAATAAAAGTAAAAAATAAGTCCTAAGTTTTACTATAGGTATATATCATTTTTATGCATACACATGGATCTGGAGAGGGGCAATATACTTTACATAAAGCAAAAGGCCTCTCTAGTGGTTGTTTTCTATGGTGGTAATTCATTAAATTTGAATTTGGAAATGTTAGTTTCACAATATTGCTGTTTCATTTGTTACAGTTTAAAGGAGCTGGAAGTACGAAGATTAATGCGTGCGAGAGGCGATGGTCCCTGGTTTCAATATCCGACCATTGATAAGGAGCTTATTGATCATTCTCCAAAAGCAAGTCCTGACAACTAACTTTTTATTTCTCTAAATACAAAATATATTCTCTTTATGGGAAAATGAAGTAATAAATATATTCTGTATTTTTGCTCAGAGTGATGAATAAAAGGTCCTCTTCCATTGCTCTGTTTCTCATTGTTGGTTCAGACTAAGGCTGTTTTGTGTGTGATTTCTATTTTTTTTCCAGCTTTATGAGGTATAATTGACAAAAATTGTAAGATATTTAAAGTGTACATTATGATTATTTGATATATGCATACATTGTGAGTGGCAGATTAAGGCTTTGGATTTGAGAGTTTTAGCTTCCTCTTTTAAGAAGGTTTAAAATAAGAAATATACTTGAAGAAATAGGAATTTGTGAACTTCTTAAAGGTGTAACTTTGAAAGGTTAGCGTTTCACTTGTATGATAAATGGAAGTTAGAGAAATCTGAGCATGTTGAGTATCAGGAAATATAGTAGTTTATATACATGTCAATATTGTAGACATCTGGATTTTTCAGAGGCAACTCAGAGTTTTATACAAATTGAACCAACTATGTAAAACATTAACACCTTAACATTTTCAGTGAACAAATCTCAAAGTTTATTTTGATGGGCTTTAGCCAGCTGTCATTCTTCTTAAATACACACACACACACACATTTTTCTTAAACTCAAACTCTAAGATTCTTTCGAGTCCTTCTTTGCAAACACTGGAGAAGTTGTTCCAAAAGGTAAAATGATTACTGCAAAGGTTATGAAATGTGAATAAAAGCTAAAATAATGGCTGTCACTTATTAAACATTTACTGTCTGCTGCATTTTTTCACATTGTTTTCAAAATGACCTTTTGAGGTCATTTTTGTAACCATTCTGTGCTTCACAGTTGAGAAATTGAGGCTCAGAGATTTTAAACACGTGTTCAGATTTACCGAAATAAACATTTACATTTCAACTTCCAAAATGATGTTTTAGCTTTAAAAATTAATAATTTTCAGTGAATACCTTTTGAGTGCCCTCTTGCCCTAAGGGCTCTCAGTGCCCTTTACAATTCAGCCAAGATCCTTTGGGGTGGTTGCATTTTCTTATTTCCCCAGCAGAGGGCTGCCTCTCCCAGCTCCCTCCAGATTTGGTTCTGAGGATACCCTATGTGATCTAATTACCACCTCATAGTTCTGCTCAAGGATTTGGGAGAAGGGCATGCTCTCCTTAAGTGCCTGCTTGCACAAACCATTCAGTTTTGTAAGGGGCGGGTAAGAAGGATGCGAGCAGACAGGTCATGTAAGTGGTCATTGTAAACATCTGTACGTTTATGTTCACTCCTTTTAGACTTTACAGAGGTTGTTTTTAGGCATTAGTAGGTTTTACTGTATGTTTTCCTTTCTACTACTATAGATGTAAAGAAAACAACATAAATACTGACAGTCTCATCACCCATAAAAAAATTTCTTTGTCTTTTTTTTTTTTTTTTAACATAGCTGGGATCATATCTGTAAAGTGGAATATTTTTTTTTAATTTGTGTTTCTTGGAGGAAAACATTAATAAAGCATATATATAAAATACTGATTTTTATGCAAACTCTTTTTCCTATTCAAATGTTAAAGTTTGTTATATATTGTTCACTGTGATACACACTGGTAATAAAGTGGTCATCACAGTACACATGTTTTCTCTAAAGAGTTTTACTTTTTAACACAGATGGTAGATATCAACTCAGAAACTATGTGCATTGGGTTTGATAGGGGAAGAACAGGGCAGTGTAGCAACCTGTGGGATCCCAAGCTAGCCTAAGGGTACATGCAATGACTATAAGATTATTTCATAACATCTGGAATGTAGTAGACCCTGAATAAAGATCTGTGGAGTGAATGATACATGGATTTAACTCTGTTTTTGGTTATCTTTAAGTTATCTTTTTTCCTTTTTTTTCTACAATTGTACATGGCCTAGCATGGTCTTATAAAAATAAAAGCAAGGGCTTGAATTGAGCAGACTTCAGGCTAAATTCTGAGCTTGCCAAGTACTATAACAGTAATAATGACTACCACCTATGTAGTACTTGCTACATGTGCCAGACGCTACACTTGCTATATTTGTCAGTCTAGTGAATATATAAATGTCAGAGACACACTTTATATATTTAATCTTCTCTTTTATCTCATCTTACGAAAGTTCCTTCACTGCTTCAAACCCTGTATCTAAAATGGGATTGTGCTCTTCATCCCACGAAACTATTGTGAAGATTACTGGGACTGTGTATGTAAAGTGCCTACTACACTGGTAAGTGTTAGGTGAAAAATAAAGACTTTTTTCTGTCAACTAAAGATTGAAATGGTCCAATCCTTTATCAAAAAAAGTGTATATCCTATACTATCTCTGCTTTCGGCTTATTGACTTCAAAGAGTTATAGATAGACTACAGTCATTGGGCAATGTTTTATTTTTTATTGATTTTAGGGAGAGGGAGAGAGAAAGAAACATTGATGAGAGAGAAATATCGATCAGCTGCCTCTTACACATACCTCCTACTGGAGATCATGCCCACAACCCAGGCATGTGCCCTGACTGGGAATTGAACTGACAACCTCTTGGTGCATGGGATGATACTCAACCAACTGAACCATACCAATCAGGGCACTGGGCAGTTTTGTTTGTTTGTTTAATCCTCATCTGAGAATGTTTCTTCCACTGGTTTTTAAAGAGAGTAGAAGATAGGGAGGGAGGGAAGAGAGAGAGAGAGAGAGAGACATCAATGTCAGAGACACACATCGATTGGTTGCCTCCCACACATACCCTGGCCAGGGCCAGGAATTTGACCTGCAACCAAGGTCTGTGCCCTTGACTGGGAATCAAATCTGTGACCCTTTGGTGCACAGGTAGACACTAACCACTGAGCCACACCAGCCAGGGCAACTGTCAGTGTTTGTTTGTTTGTTTTTGTTTTTTTTAATTTTTATTGTTGAATGTATTACTGATGTTCCTTATTTTTACCCCATTAACCCCCTCCTCCCCACTCCTGCCCTCCTCCTGTCTTTCCCCACACTGCTGTCTGTGTCCATTGGTTATGCATGTAAGTTCTTTGGTTTATTTCTCCCCATCCCCCAATCCCTTCCCTTTGAGGTTTGTCAGTCTAGCAACCAATTTGTACTTCTTAATCCCCTCACCTGTTTCACCCATTCCCCCGACCAACAAAATGTTCTCTGTATCTATGAGAATGTTTCTGTTCTGCCTGTTCATTTTGTTTGTAGATTCAGTTGTCGATAGATATGTATTCATTGCCATTTTGTTTGTTCATATATTTTATCTTTTTCTTCAAAAAGACCCTTCATCATTTCATATAATAATGGTTTGGTAGTGATGAACTCCTTTAACTTTTCCTTGTCTGGGAAACTCTATATGACCATCGATTCTAAATGACAGCTTTGCAGGATAGAGTAACCGTGGTTGTAGGTTCTTGCTTTTCATCACTCCAAATATGTCTCTGGCGCCCCTCAAGCTGCCTCCCCTCCAAGCTTAGAGGGAGTCTGATAAGTCCGTGTGCGGGCCCTTTAAGAGGAGCTGCCTGGGGCTCCAGCCGCCTCAGCCTCCCTGAGCCTCAGTTCTTGCTGGTTTTTCCAGCCAGAAGTTATGGGGATTCTCTTCCTGGCACTGGAACCCTGAGCGGGGCACCTGGTGTGGGACGGGGACCCCTCAGTCCCCAGGGAGGACCTTCCCAGCCGAGGTGTCCTCCTGATTTTTATCCCCCACACATGGGTGTGGGACCAGCCCGTCCCCTCCGCCCCTCCTACCAGTCTGGATGTGGCTGCTGCTTTAATTCTGTAGTTGTAGGACTTCCATTCAGCTTGATTTCAGGCGGTTTTGAATGACGGTTGTTCTATAGTTTAGTTGTAACTTTGATGTGGTTGTGGGAGGACGCTACAGTGTTTACCTACCCGTCGTCTTGACCGGAAGTAATGGGCAGTGTTTTTAAAAGTACTTTCAAATCATGGAAAAAGTCAAGTGTACCAAGTTCTACAATGTAAATTAACCGTACTATTCTCATTAGATACTAATACACTCTATGGAAACCACAGGAGTTTGCAGTGAATTCCCTGGGCTCAGTCTCTTGTATCACTGTTTCCCAAATTTTAGTCCTTGATTTCAACCAACTCTTTTGCCTTCACATATGATATATAATATATTTTTTAAATTGACTCTTTTAAAAGCAGATTTTTAAAAAGATATCTTTTTTTTAATCCTCACCCAAGAACATTTTTGCATTTATCTTCAGATAGAGCGGGAGGGAGAGAGGGAAGAGAGAGAGAAAAACATCGATGTGAGAGAGACATATCGACTGGTCACCACCCACAGGACCCCAACAGGGGCCAGGGACAAACTGCAACCGAGATAGGTGCCCTTAGTGGGAACTGAACCCAGGTCTTTCTGGTTCACAGGCTGATGCTCTAACCGCTAAGCCAAACCAGCTAGGGCTGAAAACTTGTCATTTAATGACTATAAATAGAAAATCAGTTTCTTGTAATTAAAAGGCAATCACAAATATAGCCATGTATTATATTCTGCCTAGACTCGGTTGCTTTCCCAAGGCTCTGAGCCTAATGACTGGCTCTCTGTCTGTTAAAAAGCATTTTAATGGATTAGTGGTGTTAAAAGCATAAGTGGAGACTTTTCTTCATGTAATCAAATGGAGAATTGAAAAGTCAATAACTTGTTTATGATGTGATTAATTGTCTCACAGCCTCTAGGTACTTGTCCACATTTTGGGAAACGTATATTTCATTAAGGTGGCAACACTGTTAACATTGGAAAATATGGAAATAAACATTTTCTAAAGTATCAATTATAGTTTTGCTTAAATCACATTTTTATGTTTTCTAAACTATGTTAATTGCTAAAGCATATCATTTAGCATGGCATTTTTTTATTTTAAATTTTTTGGGGTGACATTGGTTAATAAGATTGTATAGGTTTAAAATGTACACTTCTATGATACATGATCTGTATGTTGTGTTGTGTGCCCATCACCCAAAGTCACACTGTCTTCCATCACCATATATGTGGTGCCCCTTACCCTTTAGTATGCCCTCACCCCCTGCCCTCTGGTAACCATCATACTGTTGCCTGTGTCCTTGAGTTTCAGTTTTATAACCCACATATAAGTGAAATCATATGGTTCTGAGCTTTTTCTGACTGACTTATTTCACTTAGCGTAGTATTCACAATGTCTATCCATGGTATTGCAAATGGCAGTATTTCATCTTTTCTGTACTCAAGGGGGAGGGGGGAGTATCAAAGAACATTATTAAAAATATTAGTGTGGATTGAAGAAGTTGACAATGCCCTGTGGTTATATAAGAAAATATTGTTATTCTTAGGAAATAGACATATTTAAGGGTAGAAAATAGACATTTAGGGGTAAAGGTGATGTATATAATATGATGTATATGACTTCCCTGCAAATGGTTCACAAAAAATATTTATGCGTGTACATATATCTGTGTGTGTATGTGTGTACACATGTATCTATATACATACATATGTATGTGTGTATCTATATACATATACATGTAGATATGTTTATATGTGTGTTATGGGATGAATTGTGTCACTCCAAAATTTGTATGTTGAAGTCCTAACCCAGATACCTTAGAATATGACTGACTTGGAGGTAAAGCCCTTAAAGTAAGGTGGCCTAGGGGAGGGGCCTAATCCAATATGACTGCTCTTTTAAGAAGAAGAGATTAGGACACAGACATGTATACAGGGAAGACCATGTGAGACACAGGGAGAAGACGGTCATCTACAAGCTAAGGGGAGAGACCTCTGAAGAAACCAACTGTACTGACACCTCATCTTGGATTTCTAGCCACCCAGTCTGTGTACTTTGTTATGGCATCTACTAGACTATTACAATATATATGTACATCTGCATATCTGTGTGTGCATGTGTGTAAATTATACACATACACAGGAGTGAGGGAGAACAAATACAAGCAAATGATGTAAAAGATTTATAATTGGATAAAAAATAAGGGTGTATTATTTTTATTTTGCAACTTTAGAATAACTCTCAATTTAAAAATTTGCCCTGGCCGGTTTTGCTCAGTGGTTAGAGCATTGGCCTGCAGTCCAGAGAGACCCGGGTTCAGTTCCTACTAAGGGCACGTACCTCAGTTGCAGTTTGTCCCCAGTTCTGGCTGGGTCATGTGGGTGGCAACCATTCGATGGGTCCCTTTCACGTCGATGTGTCTCTCTCTTCCTCTCTCTCCCTCCCACTCTATCTGAACAAAAAATGAAAAAATGTCCTCGGTGAGGATTAAAAACAATATATATATATAAAATAAGTACATGTACACTATAATTGCGAATATGAACAAAATCTAAAAGGAAACGATAAAATTGTTGCCTTCGGGTGGAGGAATTATTATCCCTCTACAAACATCCAATTTTTCCTGTGATACTAT